AAAAGTACACCGATAAAAATGTTCAGCTTGTTTTAATTTATCATTCTATCGGTTTAGATTTGCAATAGGTTTATTTGGTTTTTAACTTATAAAGTTTGAAAGTCATGTGACATTAGTGCGGTTTATAGATAATAGCCACCATACCCTTTTCGTTGCGTCGAGATTCGAGGACAATAACGTCCGCCACACAGCATCATCAATAAACTCTTTGACTTCCTCCTGACTCACCGCTCCCTCCCTGAAAGCATAGTGGGTCGTACATTAGCACCATAATTGTGGAAATGTGACATTAATTCATATGCATACTAGTTCCAAGAGTTACAACTTGCAGTTAACAAAGCAGTCTAGGGGCCCGCGTCAAACGAGTCAAGAATGTCTAAACCAGGAACACGTTCAATTATGCTATGACCAGCATTAACGTCAAAACGATCTACACGAGATCTTAAAGCTATGAGTTTACGTGTAAGAAACTGCACTAATACCAAGAAGAGAAGGGTTGGCTCAGATATTGGCGCCCGACGATATAATGGTACGACAATTTTGGTTGGTTTGTGGGCTAAATCCACTTTTGGATAATACCTGTAATACGAAGCTCTTGTAACCGCGGCCGATAAACACTGAAAGCCGTTCTTTATTACGAAAGACAACGATGTCGTCTAGTCGCTGAATTGTAACATATGTTTGTGTCTCTTTGTTCCAGCGGAAATAAGCGTAGTATGAATGAAAGATAGATGTCAAGCGATAATTACTAAGATAAGATGACTTTGGTATCTCAACAAATTTGTCAATCCGCAAGACATAATTCAAATTCGCAACGAGCCTCTCTACGACCCAGTTTGTTGATCGAGAAAGGAATTTGCTTTTCTCGAAATACTTGGTTCGCTCGTCCATCCTCGTCTGCCGTTCATCACCCTCACAAACGAAGATATACACACAATCACACTAGTCGTTTAATGACCAAATGTCAAACGCTTTTCGTCGAAAACGTCAATTGACTACATTGGAATTCTGAATTCAAAGCGTCACCTCACTTGGCAATAAACTTTACTCCCAGTATCGATAAAAGATGACTTTGTTTATTAAATACAATGAAGACCATATTAAATTGTCTGTGCATTTAAGAATATTCTCTAATTTCGATCATGTCATCGGGCGTAGTAGCATTGACCAAACGTGGCTAAAAAGGCCCAAATTCGAAACCATTAATATTTTCCATTTAGGAATTGTCGGGTGAACCATTAAACACCCAATCATAATCAATGATAATATTTACAAAAAACCAGGATTGGTCAACAATCGAAGAAATCACACATATATATTATGCGCAGGAATGTGGGTGAAGATAACTTTAAAAAATTCAAATCTTCGGGTTGGCTTAGTATTAGACTATACCTGCTGTATTCTCATTCATTTACTTATTCTTGTTGCAAAGTGCTTGCCATATAACCGTGCAATCTTTAATAGATTCAAACACACTTAACACCGTTATTTATAACAAACCTTAAACTACACCCTTCCGTATTTCTCCTGTAACAATATGGTTAAGACTTGTAACTTGATATCAATTGCGATCTTCGTGCTCTTTGCGTCGTCCGTCACTGTTACTGGCAGGCCATTAACGAACGCCGACACGCCCGTAGTAAAAAGGTGCTTGGCTACATGAAAGCTGTGTGAAACTTGTCTGTTTGTCATAAGAAAGAAAAACTAACCATTTCCTATATCATTTCAAATATTAGAGATTCTGGAGAGATAAAAGCAGAGTAAATATCAAGTAGGAGTGTATTTTGCGCAAGTTACTTGAACAATAGATGTACTAATTTTTGGGTTTTTCTCTTTAAACGTCCATAAAGCCGAGTAGCAGAAATCGGTAATATTTGCATTGGAAAGGAGTATCAGGGTGTGCCGACCAAATTATGTCCAATCAATAAGCTTGATAGCACACCACAGAAGCGTACCAACATGGTCAAGCGATCATTATCCAATCGACAAACAGATAGGGTTGCGTCTGAAGGCCGAACGGTTTTTGAGCGTTCTTTTAGCGCGTCCGTTAGCGGTCTTAGAGGATCATCAGACGGTGAGATTTGTGCAGATACGAAAGATGGCGTGGTGTGCATGCCAAAGTATGGGGCTAATCACTAGAAAGGAGGGAGTGACTATTTATTTTGGTGTACTATAGAAGGGCGGCATAGAGAGATATTTTTATGGGACAACAGGATCTAGTTTCTCGTACCTTGTCATTTGCGGCACTTACGTCTAATATATATAGCAACTTTATCGTCGACAATAAATACACAGTTACAGTGAACTATGTCTTTACATTGACGAAGACTAATTGATGGGTTGCAGTTCAAAATCCAAGTCGAGCTATTAGATTTATTTGCTGAAGGCAGTCACAGAAAGGCTATTTGCTATATTTTTGGCTGAATGTGAGAATATATTGCATATAAAAGAATTGCTCTACCTCGTGCATAAAGGCATTAGGCACCATTGAAAATACAACTTCTCAGTATCGGATGGATTGTAACATATCAATAGTAGGACGAATAGGAGATAAAAATAGTGATCACGAACTTCGGAAAGTGTGGGTTAAATATTAAAAATGATGAGAATTGTATTGAAAAAGATTGTTTGACGAGCGATTGACCAGTATATCGACAGACGGACCAATGAATAACAACCATAAATTTACTTCTGAAAACATGTAAGCTTCCTGCAACAAGTATCTAATCTACTCTATTTAAAGCTTATTGTGGGCTATTTACTGTTCCTTATCAGTAATCGCGTCGTTTGTTCCGCGGTTTTATGTGTGATAATCAGCTGATCGCAGAAAGTATCACCTCTTGCACTCTGTATATGCAAACTGTCTTGTATTGGTTGACAATGTCCGCAAAGAGATAATAATTAGTACGGTCTTTTAAGCGAAAGTTAGCTTTGTACTCTATATACTTAGATCAAATTCTTGTTCCTATTGGCTGAAACCCTGTTTCCATTAAATTGTGACTAGACGATTCACCCAAAATTCTACAACGCGAGTTGCTATAAAAATCCGGGCGATTTTTAATATGAAAATGGGAAGAAGAAAAAAAGTTCTTTATAAAACGATTTATTATAAGAGCTTTGACTGTAATATGCTAAAAACTGTCCATAGACTTCTGCCAGATAAGCATGTCCTACAACAACACTTCACATATGGGATAACAAGTTGCAAAATCTCATCATGATAAATGTCCGGATACAGTTAATAACCGTTTGCCGGCGCGACCAATAACATCATTCTTCGTTTCCTTTGTCCTCCTCACCCTCTAGTAAGAGCGATTCACATATTTTGGCTAAAATAGTCAACATCGCTTCTCTTCCGTCTGGGATTGAAACCAGTTGTCAGACAATTCTTAGGGAATCTCAACTGACTAGTTTTGTGGTAAATCTTTATTAAGCTCCTTCAAATATGCTGCACCGATCAAAGCTTATAAAATGTAACGTATGTGGAAACTACGCGCAAATATGATTTAATTTTTATATTCAACTTTGTGCACATTTTAGGCGAGAATGGTATGTCGATGTTGATTAACATGTTTCAAGTGTTTGTCCTGTTAAAAATAGCACATACAGTACATGGACTCATTAATGATTAAAAAAACAAACAAAAAAACAAACGATTGATTAATCATAATTATTACAGCCGCCGTTGCTTCCTTATCTACTACAAATTCACAAGTAGATAATTTCCAAGGTGGCTTGGACCTATATTTGTAACGCAAGCTTTAAAAACATTGAGGTAGATACAACCAAACCATTTTTTATCATCACTCACCTAACCACTAAAGGCCAACAATCCATAGGGAAAACATGAATAAGAGATGCAGTATTAATGTGTCGGTCATAGATTCTTGGGTACACGACCTCGTGCAGCTTATTAAGAAATGTTTTGACGAATCCATCAACACCCTCGAGCTCTTTAACATCGAAATTGCGCCTATTAAGTATATCACCGGAGAACATACCGTTGCGAAAAGTTGCTAACTAATAACCAGCAATCATAAAAATTAGGTTTACAAAAGGCTTATTAACACAACATATTCTTGCCTGAACATCGGATATAATCTCGTTTTCATTGGAGCCGGCACGAAGGTTACTTTAAAGCCTCTACATCGTTTTCCACACTTGGACGCCAATTAGGGAGTTCCTTTAAGGAATAGCTTGAATCGTCGCGCGCCATAATAGTGACTTCCTGCGGACAACGAAAAAAAAAAGGAGTAAATACAAATGAGCAAAAAAACATGACGCGTTTATGTGCTGGGAAAAAAAAGCCACCTGACTTTCTCAAAACCTGTGCAATAAAATTTTAGTGCTTGTTCTAACCTATATCTCATAGTATATTATAATTAATATGTAAACCTTTGAGTTTGCTTATGCCTGACCGAAAATATGACAGCTTATGTTTCGCAACCGAACGTTTAAAAATATACACAAAAAAAGTTATGTTACTGTTGTACCTCAGTTCGGGACCATCTCAGTCCGGAACTCAGTTGTCTCAGTCCAGAACTCAGATATTTCCGTTGTCTCGGTCCAGAACTCAGTCCATTACCACACCATACATTTGAATGTCTTAATCAATACAAAAATTTCACACCACGTACCCCCTGGAGTTTTGCGTTCCTTTATTAACCACGTACCCCTTGGCCGGGTCTTATACCAGTCCGTTTCAGTCCATTCTGAAAGTACCCGGGTACACTATTGAATATACGTATTGTATTAGCAATCGATCCATTTCATAGAATTAATATTGCTATAATCGCTTATGAAAGATATAAACATTGATGTTAAGACTGGTTTCTGAATATTAATAATCATGACAAAATTTATCGTATTTGCATAGGTATAACCATTTTCAATATCTCTAACATTATCAACATTTAAGTTAGTGTGCACAATGCTATCATCAAATTATCTTCACTTCCATGCGTCTCAGGATTTATTTACCCAATGTACCGTCTGGTATAGTACCCCCTGGTACAGTACCCTCACAGTACCCCCGGGTACTAAACCAGTAAAGTATCCCGGGTACTAGAACCAGTGCCTAGTTGTCGAGAAGCCTTTTTAGTGCAAGTGCACCTTTTACTTTAGCGTTCAATCGTAGATGCAACTAATAAAGGAACGCAAACTCCTAATTGTCGAGAGATAAAAAAATTTAGTAATCCATGCGTTCAGAATAGTATTCAAGCATAATTTGAAGCAAAATATAATAAAAATTTTATTAATACTTGGTTGCATAATCTTGGCACGTTTAACTGCTTTTACTCTATGTTTCAGAATTTCTTCCATTCTTCTTGAAAAAGTTCAGCCAGTTTTTTCCTCAAATGTTGGTGGTGGGTCCCGTTGTCTGATATGTACGTACGTCATACCACAGATGTTCAATGCGATTAAGGTCAGGGATCTGTCATCAAATTTATGTTTAAATCTTGAAAGAAAAATTCCATTTTCAAACTTACTTTTATAGACTAAAGTATTGTCTTGTTGAAATTCATAACCAACAACTTCTCCTTCAAGTTCTTCCATAAAATGCATTCAAAATGTCTATATACAGTATCTCTGATTGTTAATTATTCCTTCAACTCTGACCAAAGGGCTTAAAGAGTCTCATGTGAATCAACCCCATACCATTACTCCGACACCACTATGCATAACTGTTGAAACAATACTGTTAACATCATATTTCTCCTCTGGAGTCTCCATACATGAGTTCTGTTATCACTTTGGAACAGTGTAAACTGAGATTTATCACTCCAGATGACTTTTTTCCATTGCTCATCTGTCCATTCTTTGGTGTCTTTTGCACCATTTCAATTGTTATAACTTTCAGCAAAAGTTTTATCTTGATCGATTTGAATATTAGTTACATTTGTCTTAGTACGAATTTAAAAATGTCAGTTGTGTCCAAACGTCATAGTGTGCTCTCAGCCAATGTTCACTTTGTTGCAACATGCCCATATAATAAGCAGACGTATGAGCAAAGATGTACAGATTAGCTTTATATTTCACGCAATTCGATTTACACGGGTTAAACAAATGAATATGACAGAAAAAAGTTGAAATATGTAAGGACGGTCTCCTAATATTAAATTCTCAAATAAGTAAGCAGCATATGCATAGATAAATCAATTGATATCAAATTGCATAAATTGGAACGAGTACTTTTTGATGGGTAACTACAAGCCCCGAACCGAGGTACAACAATATATACCATTATGAAGCACATAAGACTTCGTTGTCCCAACAATTATGTTTTTGGTTACGGAATGGTTTGGAAAAGAAAAATTAGATTTCTACAAAAGGCAGGTAATTGAGTACAGACACGGGTTATAGGAATAAATTACCATAAATGGGTGTTCCGTCAATTTGAAATTTATTGATGTAAATTCTTCTGCATACAACCAGGCCAACTTTCATATGAAGGTAAGAGGTTTGCCAGTACGTCGGCAAAGTATCGTGTAACAGCGACTTGTATAATTACTAAATTAATGATCGATCGATCAAGTGATTTATTAATTGATAGATTGATTGTGAACGCGACGTAACCCTACTATTTACCTTGATCAGATATAACACAAGATATCATTTATACGCTTATTAAAGGTTACAGAAAGTCTTCCCCTTATTCAGTGTTCTATCAATTTTGGATTCTATTTATTCACAACGATGAGATACCTAAAATATACATATTTGATACACAAATTTATTCATATGCATAAAATAAAGCACAATTATCTCAAATTATAACACTATTCTGATATTGAGGCAAAGTAACAATAACACAACAAGAAAAGAAAACAGGAAAAAAAAAGACATCAACATATAATAGAGAGTGGTGCTATAATAAACCATAAATACGCTTACTTTATAGCCAATACATTATCGTCATGCCATAATTAGAACAATAAATTAGTTCTTCTATCAAAAAATAAAATAATCATTTTCATTGATATCTTCACACGCATTTGTGTTAATACTGTCATTGGCCCAAGACTCAACATTTGGTGCCTGCTGCGCAGAAAATTCAGGCATATATTCCATAATGTTGTAACTTGGATCGTGAGACTGACCCATGCTATACGAGTCTGGTGTCGGAGCCAATCCCATATCACAGAAAAGAAGCGTCTCGTAACTGATACAACTAGGATTATATACCATGGGCCCATTTTCAACGTACATGCACGGGTTAACCGTATGAAGTAGTGGTGACGAGACTTCGGATGTGTTGGGAGATAGTGACATCGACGAGGGTGACTCGTATGTCAACGAAGGCGAAGGAGAGTTTTGTAATGCTGGGATAAATTGAAACTGAGCCTCGTGTGCAATCTGGCTTGATACAACTGTAGAGTTGAAAAGAAAAAGTAGATCATCGTCAATATTTATAATCGTGGACAAACGATTATCTCGTGTATTATATTATCGTTTCAAATGCGATAAAAACAAAAAAAAAAAAATTACCATTATCTCTCTCGTCCTTATCCTTCTTCTGTCTCGGCGAGTACTTGTATCCTGGAAATCTCTCTGCGTGCCTCTTCTTGCACAAGTCAGCCAACACAATAAAGTAGTGTCGTACCTCGACGCTTTCGTTATTCCAACTCTCGGACGCTTGCCTCGAGATATTATTCAGCGACATTTTTTGGCTCGTTCTAGCCACTCGCTCTACAAAATCTCTGCGATACAATATAAATGCATTCTGTGGCCGCGGCGCCTTGGATGAATTGGCACGGCGTCTCGAACGCGGGGAGGGTGTTGGATCCAGTAATCTTTCCAACGGTAGCGTATGAATAAAGGGTGGATTCTGCAGGAGATTTTTCTCTGTTTTCGTCAGACGAATATCGAGATATGTGCAGAATTCCCCAGGAGCAGTACTTGGGGGCAGTCGCTTTCGACCTTGTTTTGGCATCTTATTTTGTTGCAGAGGATGTATTACAAAAACGTGTGCTGTATTGTTGATATAGCTGTTTTATCCCTTTTTTTTTTTGGTTCGGTTTTTGAGTGAGAGGAAGGGGGGGAGGGTGGGCTTTATATAAAACCTAAAATATGCAGTGCATACGTTTCCTTGGCGTAGTCTATATGTCTCCGATATATCCAAAAAGGGATTAATGCTCCCACACTGTGTTCGGTTATTATTCTGTGGTAGACAAATATTATAAACGCTGCGATTGTTTTTTTGTTCCTAGCCTTAACTTTATCCCTTTACTAAGCTTGATTGCGAAAACAATGCTTATAGGGTAGGGATTATATGAGGATAACAAGATCTCTTTCCAACGGTACAGTTAAATATTCTTTATTAATGCATGGATGCATTGCGAAACCCACCCGACTAACCAAGACAATCCGTAAAACCGAATACCTAGTATTAGCATTATTAGTAATTATTGTATTGTGTGCTTTTGGGAACAAGGCGAAAAAATATCGGTACTACGTACATTGGCTAAACAAATAGACCTTGTCCCCTGATCGACTGCAACTTGGGTGACCAATGTCGTTGAGACCTCCTTGTAATTTGGTTAGCCTGTGTCAGTTCCAACCATTTAATAGCTTGATAGAAAAGTTCGTTGTTTTTTTATACGTTGAAAAACAAAAGGAACAGATGCACGGTGTTCCTATGAATATTGATTGCATAAAAACGTGAGCAAATTGGTTAGTTGTGCAAGATTAGCGTGCTTGTTTGTGTATCCGTTCGCAATGTAATAAAGAACTAACGAAAAAAAGGTAATAGCAACGAAAGTTTGTTAGTAATTGACGAGTAGTGACGCATGTTTGCACGGATAGATAAGAATGGCGTACTCCAAACCATCCGATTAAATTTCTATCCAGTAAATTTGTTTGTTTGATGATATGTTTATAGCCGACTGTCGCAGATTCGTCATTAACTCTCTTATTTGGATATTTGTATTCTTCAAATCGGTCCCAACTTCTCTGTAACATAGGCGATATCTGTGCAAGTAACTCGTACCTATGAGACAAATTGTTGTTTTTGCAGTTTTTGATCACCAATTTCAATGAGTGAAACAACTCTGATTGTCGTACCCACAAGCAGATAAACATTTAATTGCTTTACGTAAGAATAAATATTTTCACTAGCATTTTATGTATGCATCTAATTTATTTATAGGTGCATCGCATTTGAAACAACTCCTACTACCGAAATGGTGGAAATCCGGGTTCATGGTTGCACCATCATAAGTCTTTGTCTAAACTTATAACCTTAACCCCCTGCAACTAAATAATTTCATTAAATGGATCCAATCAGACCCATAACATCCTCTATCTCAAAGGACTTTCATTGATGTCACTTGAATTACCAATGACTTGCGGCCAAATACCAGGCTAAAGAATAAGAAGATAATAACTTTACTGTTTGAGAAATTGTAGTATGCAAAATGAATTACTGCATATTGGATTTATCCTGTTTACGTCCTTGTTAGACTAAATAGTTCTAGTATGCACACAACAGTGCGTGAGGGAGAGGGAGGGAGGGGGGAGGTCAAAGCCATGTGGTTAGGAGCGGTAGATAAGAGTGAATGCAAAAGCCAATAGCCACGGTTTAGTTTGTCGATGGCAGTGTGAATTGATTTGGACAACAAAATGTAAGACGGGTGGCGGATGAAATTATTCGGCTGAAAAAAATGAGCAATCTCGAAGCAGACATAATACCACGAGAGCCGACTGTGCACTAATATTATGCGTTTATTGTCTCAATCGGAAAAGACATTGATGCAGGTCAGCTAAAATGGTAAGCCGGTGTTGCGATTATACTATTTCTTGCGGAATCGCTGAATAAATATTCCATAAGTTAGACGATATAAGGGATCCATATAATTCTATATAAGCATTGAACTATTTCGACTATCATAAGCGACCGACTACCAAGATATCTCCACATCCCCTTTCCCGCTTCCAAACAAAGACTCTTTACTGAACCAATGATAATCACCATCTATGCTATGTTGGTCGTACAACTATGTGAAATATGAACACCAATTATGAACAATCTGAAGAAAAGCATCCGAACAATAAAGTCGAAAGAACAAATGGATTCTGTCACTTATGAGGCCATAATGCCAAGTTCTAATCATGCGCGCGAAGAAAAACCCCTTCACGGCAATGTTTGGAGAATAGCACATGAACTATGTCGTTTTCGTAATAGAGACGAAAAATATACGTTTATTTTGTCCCTCATATTTGGGTAATGTCGGACAAGAATAATATCAAAAACAGACGCAAGTCAAGCCCCCCATATTGGCGTTTGTTCGGTTACGAAAAGATAAACATCTTTTTTTTATTATACATATTCTTGCAAGAGGACGTTCTTAGAAAAACCAAATACCTAAAACCTAAGCCATAAGTTTTTCAGTACAATCATAACTAACCATAAGCTTATAAACAGAAATCGCTGTTTTAACGAAAAGCATGTAAAATTTCATAAAATTTCATAAAATTCGAGATAAAATATATAACGTAATAGTCAAAAATTTTTCAAATCTTTTCAAATCTTTTTCCTAAACTTGTTTTAAATAAAAAAATATATGTTGTTAAACGAAACGAAAAGGCTGTTAAAATTTAGTTATCTTCAATAATTTCAAATTTACTTGGTTCCAAAAGCCTTGGGGAAAACCAGAGCGGAATTCCATAATCATAATTTTCATAAAACATTTGGGGATTTTTTAAAATATTGGTATTTTCGACAGTCACATCTTTCGGTTTGTTAATTTTGTTGGCCATTGCTGTTTTAAAGTAATTGACAAATAGAATCGTATCGTTTTTTCCGTTAACTTGGATTTCACACATTTCACTTTCGTTGTTAAAAATTTCATTATCAAATTTTTCTGCATTATAAATTTTAAAATTTCTCGGTTGTTTGGGCGTAGAAATCACCCATTTAAGCCCTCCTTTTTCCTTTTTCGCTTTTTTGCCTTTCCTTTTAAATTCCACCTTTCTTCTTTCGGCTTGAATTATATAGTCGTTTCTCATTTCTTGCGAGCCATTGTGCCACCCAGTGGATGACATCTTGGAGAGCTCAACAAGTGACACCCTTTTGCCTGACGACGACAGCTCATCGCCCATCTGCTTGCGATAGATAAGATACGGGTTCTGGTGAGATATTTCCGCGTGATAAAGAACAATATGGAATTTCGATCTTGCCATTTATTCGAAGGGTTCAACCGGATTACGCAAAATCAGGATGGGAATGGTATCGGATATAGAACAAATAATTATTGATATGGTAAAAGCTTGACAGGCAACAAGCCCAAAATTGGTCCAGTAAAAGAATGTTATAGGACGTATGTGTGTTTGGGTGTTATAAACGATATCTTGATGCCCGAAGCCTTATATACTATCTAATCAAATAATTATATTTAGTGTCTCTGCTATCCGATTTCTAGGATGGGAAAGACAATTTTCTCTCACTAAACTACGTCAATTTTTATATATTCTCTCCCAGGTGCCGGTTTGTCCTTTCTGGGTCATGATGGCATCCCAGAAAACTCTAATTGACGTAAAGGTAATAACAAATCGCGTTTATTCCTGCCAAGCCCTACATTCTTCGCGCGCCAATTACATATTGAAATTCTTAAAAGGAAATAGTTCCATTCATTTTATTTCATATATACGCAATGTTGGATAAAATTCGGTATGCCAGAGACCGGGTCTGCTAGCTTATAATGGAATAAGTAACCTCATGAATTGCAAGTTAAGGTTATGACGATGAATAGAACTCACTTTCATATGCCTAGAATCAGACTAGAATGGAACGATAGCAACAATCGTGCATTGGGTGTAGGTTGTGTTTTTCTTTCATTCATTAATTTAATTAAAAATGGTTTTTGATGACAGTTTGCCTTCCTGCAGTGAGCGAGCCTTTATGGACATTAATGAATACACATGAATGCAAAGTAAAAAACAATGTATGAGATCTATAAATTTATCCATTTTTGTGAAAATTTACGATTGTGTTTTGTCAATTTACGACATAATGTCGCCGTTGATTACTACTTTTCATAACCTCATGCGTATATAATGACAATGGACCTCGGCCGTACCTTTATCACATCATTTCAGATCAAATATGTTAATATTAACTGCGTAATAGATACAGTGGAATTGCTCCATTGAGATTCTTTTCCTTTTTTGACAATGGGTTTGATTATAAATTTTATAATAGGGGTCTATTCACTTAAATCAGGGTTAAACTAGTTACATTGTTGCATTCGGTCCCAATTAGTGCGATATGACCCACTTTCGATTAATCGTCATATTGGGAAATTTTGTATGACCATGCCGCGATTAATGATTGGGAGGTTTAAGATATGCTCACTAACATTCTGAACTTACATAGAAGATGACATTCATGCGCTATGTCTTGATACTTGTATTACTGTTAATGTATAAAACTATAAATACGATTGCTTGCGCGCACAGTATTGGCTTCAAAGACAATATATGGTTTGATCATATTCATGAATTTGCAACTGTTCTCGGATGTTATACAGCATGTGGCGCTTATTGGCCGATCGACAAATAATCCCCCGTTTGTTTTCAACGATGTCTTCGTAGGTTATATAACCCTCGCTTAGTGGTTTTTCCCCTACAAAGTATTCTTGTTTAGCCCATGTTTAACCGACTCTGTGTAAGCTAGGCGAATTGGTTTCAGTGGTGTGTATCCCATCAGATCTTGCATACATATGCATACACAAACAAAGAATGCTAAATCTGATGCTCACCAATGACGAAATAACTCTTATTTCTTTCTTTCTTTCTTTTTTTTTTTTAAAAGTTTGGAAGGTGGTTTTGGTTCATACGATTGCTTTCAGCGCTAGAATTATAAATAGATCTAATAGCTTTGTGAATGCTATCATTCGATAAATGTATTACTGCATATCTAGAAAACGGTCGAGAAAGTTCCATAAGCTAGTTCGATTATAAAGAAAATATAGATAGTATCAATAATACTGATACGCATTACACACATTTCTTGACAGGGAACCGTTAACTGATAGACTGTAGTGTAGCAAGTTATATTTGACAATCTTTTTATTTACTTAAGGATTCGTTATGGCTATAAAATTTTGTTAATGACTAATTCTATAAACATATAATGTTATTAACTTTTGATTATACATAAAGTAAGATTAATAAAATGAAAACTATTAAGGAAGAGTTCTGGTGGATTCAGTATTAGGTTACAGAAACGATATTTCACTTTTCTAATTTACTTGCATCCTTCTTTTGCGTAAAGAATCTGTGCGTTTTAAAGAAGGTCCTGTATTTTTCTACTTCTTCTTTGTAACTCTCCAACAATTGATCATATTCAGCTTCAGAGATATTCATGAACGATGACAATTCACCACGTAATTCTGTAACCAATAATGCCATGTCTTGAATAGCAAATTCACCGACTTTACCAGCCCACTTGCCAAGTGCAATTGATTTGTCGTGTTTGCGAATTTCATCTACTTGGTCTGTGGCCTTGAGGAATGATGGAAGTTTGAGACTTAACAAGCCGTTGAAGCCCTTTGAAGCAAGGAATTCCATAGCTGATTTTTATAAGAAAAAACATGTATTAGAATTATGGTTACGATTATGCGGGTAGTAGTGCCAATCAAACATTACTTTTGAAATTTGTTACTCACCAGCTTTAGTGAATTTACGTGTCTTGGGACCAGCACTATAATGAGGATAATCAAACTCGACGATTTCGATCCATCCACCAGGTTTGGCCACTCGAACCAACTCTTTGACAATGACGTCCTCCCAAGTCTTTTCCGAGATGTATTGAGTCAAGAACCGCATGTGTACGAAATCAAAAGTGTTGTCGGAGAATGGCAATCCATGTAGCAAATCATGTTCGAGAAAATTGACGTTGTCAGATGCTTCCCTCTTGGGTAAGAACGATTCGGTATCGATACCCGTAAACTGTGCGTTTGGATATTCTTGAGCCAATTCAAATATCCAGGTACCATGTCCACACCCGACATCGAGAACCTTTGCATCAGAGGATTTCAAGACTTCGTCGACTGGGGCTTCGAAATTGCTTTGCCAGAGATATCTCATTAGGTAGTGTTGAGTTTCCAAACGTTCCAAGTCTGAAATGTTGTCGGGCATGTCATATTTGGGAAGGCCATTTTTCGATGGACGAGCACGTTCTTCCGAATTACGATATTCTTGCTCGGCTATTTCTCTGGGGTATGACACGTAGTGAGGATCGTTGACTGAGAATGTGGCGCCCATTTAAATGTGTGTTTAGCAGAGAGTAGATATTTAATTGTAGAATTGATGTTGCGTAAGAAACTTTTTGTAATTGGCTTTTTGTTGTTGCCGAATTATTTTTTGGTTTCGACCAGCTCAAAATGCGTCCCTTTAAATATCCCGTCTTGAGTCGCAGTAACCGTCACCTGTATTTGTTTACTGACGTAATGTAGAACATTTTATTAATTCCTAAACAATGTGATGATCGGATGATTTGTGTGGGGAAAGTGTCATACCACCCAAATTCGAAAATTTCTAATGCGGGGGGTGGCATGATTATGATACACGCTGATTATCAGATTCAATAGATCGATTAATGCGCATATTATAGTAAACCGAATGGTAAAAATAATATATCCCATTGTCCCTCGGATATACGAATGTTATGCAAAAGCTCATATTTTAGTAAACCAAGTGGTAAAAATAATATATCCCATTATAGTAAGCCAAATGGTAAAAATAATATACCCCATTGTCCCTCGGATATACGAATGTTATGCAAAAGCATCTTGATATCGATGAAGCGACGTTAATGTCCAATCATTTTTAATTATTTATAGCGTGGTATAAACAATGTATACTATTGTACTATACGGAGGTATTGATTTCTTTACTATATCTTTATATTTCATGCATTTACAAAATGCCTCAAGCTCAGCCGCATTTACATTCGTGAATTACCGAGTATCTTCCAATTGTTTCTCTTACTAATAATAGATGCTCCGTGTTCCCATTCCCACGGGCGCCTAAAACCCAACCTTTGTGATTTCACCCTGCAGCTAGATCTTGCGTGTCTCAGAAGATAAGATAACTTTAATTTGCCATTGACAATTGAGAATGTCTAGACCGCTGCTATGAGAAACAATGGTAACAAGTATAAAATGACGTAGATTGATGTTGTAAATTGGCAAACGAGCATGGGAATGGGAATATTTTACCACTACAATAATTATGCGAGATGGAGGGCTGGCCTCATGTGAGATGATGCATCGAGACGCTTCGTCAATGATAAATAATGTTGAACAGCATTTTATTCATCAATATAAATAATATTGGTAATTGATAAATAGAATTAACAACATATTGACAATACATTAGGAAGTTAATTGTATATATTTTAATATTATCAGATCAAAGTGGCTGTTTCTATTCTCCTAATTGCTTTAAATGGCATACGACAAATAATGACTCAATTCCCAAGCACACCGTTCACTAATCCTTTGTTTTTCAATTATTAATTTCAAGGGTCCTTGAATAATATGATCTCTTAGTGTATGCGAGATAATCTTTACCGCTAGAAAAGGCAATCCATTGACTCTTGAGATTATAATATTATGCGGTCATTAGACCCCCCAAGTTTGGCTTACAGGCTCGGCCATTTGCCAAATAACGGTAACGTGATACATTAGAGAATATTGTGGATTGTCTCAGCCATTATTGCACTTGCTACAAATGGTTACACTCGATACCTCAGCTGACAAGTTAGTTACATCATCGGCTGGCTCATTGCGGAATATGCTAGGCCAATGATAATTACCGCATCACATACAAGTGGAATACCCAATGAATTAATGAATTGTTGTTGATGGCAGATTATCTCAAAGTGCGACAATCAATGACGTTTACATGCCAAGCAAATTCTGTAAGGGAAGATACGTCATGTTGACAAAACACGTGTCCCGGTTGGATGTTGGCTGTTAGCCAATAGATATAAACCATGAACAAGGGAAAAAAAAAAGAAAAAAAAAGCAAGTTCAGTCAACGTTAATTTTATTTTGGAAAACGTGGAAAGTTCAACGTGGAAGGGTTTTCCGGAATAAGAAGAGGCCCGATAATGAAGGTATAAACGTGCCATATGAAGTAAACCACTAAAGTATGGGATGTACAGACATTTAATTAATAAATTGAGCTGGTCTGTGTATGTCCTATTTATATACTACGCTTTGTATATTCATATTAAAGGATTTCCTTGTAGCAAACTCACTCTCTCGATTTATCCATCATGATTCGAATGACGATTCCAAGAAAATAAATATACTTTTTGAATTTTCCGAAAAAACTATTTTTAACCATAAGCAGATCGAAAGGTGTTGTCGATCCGTTCGCAACATGTTAAACCGCGAGAATATACCGATTGGGGAAAGAGAGCTCGTTAAAAGTTTAAAATTCTGCAAGCGAATATCAGTGGACAATATGTGGTTATTATTATGGTTGAGTTTGCTGATCGCTGGTCTATTTTTGATGTTTGGAATGCAAAGTGGAATAGTGAATAGAACTTCAGACGAGTGTTAAAAAGCTATTCTTGTCACTACCATTGTTACAGTTCTTTGCTGTTTTTAACCGATATTAATGGTTGTTAATTATTTTAGTACATGAGGCGGTGGGTTGTTGATTTATCTGGGACAAGATGATGTATCACGCATTGCTTATTTGGATGCAAATCGACAATGTATCGACAGCCATTTGTCTTGTCGATCTCCCATATATAACACACAGCAAATATGTGCCCAGTTCTCAATTAGATTGCTTTTTTATTTCTTGTTCTCTTATCAGCCGAATCCCAGCTAATACAATCTACCTTTCTTCTCCACTGCCGTTGTCAATTTGGTTTTGCTCACTCGTTTGTCGGTGGAAGAAAAGGCTAAACACACCTTTCTGCCCCTTAACAAAGAATCAGGTTGTCTGTGCTCCCTTTACACTGTTTACGTAAAATAAGTTACGCAAATCATATCCAATTAAGTCTAACACCCACATACTTTAACCCATATCGGGCAACTGCAACCGATGAGTGATCTTAATCATAAGGCCATCCTCATTTAAATAAATAAATAAATACATGAGCGCAATAAATAATGGTATTAAACCCCGCTTTAGTTATACACCTACTGTTCAGGATATCTGGTTAATTACCTATTTAGTACTTTGTTTATGAAACAAAGGCCACGCATGCTATGTATCCCGTTGTCAGCAACAACGGGAGGTGGTTGCATCCGGATCGTCAAAGCTTAGTGGGATTATTAAACAAAGATATATTACCCCACAACGGTTGGACGGGAGTTTCTGATTTTTCCCTTCTCTGCAAAATCAATATCACCAAGTATTTATATCCTTGAGAAGCGTAAAATAATTGATCATACCCCTTCATTAGATAGAACGGCTGACTACTGACCTCTAGTCAGTTATCAGTTAATAGGGTAAAGAAGAAAGGAAATAATCGAGAGAGAGAGTGCGTGTGCGTGCATGTTGCCAGAGAGGAATATAGAATTAAAAGAAACTACCTTGGTAGTAACAAAAGACCCACAGTGTGAATGAAGAAATAACAATAGATAAATGAATCCAGAGTGTAAATCAACAACCTACCATCACATCCTTCAGAATCACGAACAACCATTATATTCCGTAGTTGACCTACCTTTACGCATTATTAACCTATTTGCATACCTACCTTTCATACATATAAATACATACATCTTATACATATACATATCTCTTAAACACGCATATATTTCCAATTGTGCATCATCTTCTTTGCCGCTTATACATATTCCTCTTCACATAAGACATAATGAGACGAACTGCTATAATGAAAAAGCAATTTGCACGTGTAATGGGCTACTGCACATGGACCACTCAATCTCCCAAGCCACAAAAAAAGTACCGTGAAAACGATGAAGCTCCACGAAATAAATATCGGACCGTAGATGGAAGATTGTATCTTAATATTGCCGATTCACAATATCCAATGCCGGTCTATGACGAGGAAGAGATGGAGAGATTGGCATTACAGCATGCAGTATTTAAACACTTCTGGCATGGCTTGTATTCATCGCCGATCACGGAATTGTTACATGTTGGTGGTGCCAAAGTGTTGGATTCTGGGTGAGTATTTTCATCGAGAAGATGGTGAGGATCGAGTTGGTTATTGATTTACAGATCCAATCAGATGCACCCGTACTGACCTACTCTCCCACCCTCCCACTATTACTCAGATCGGGCACTGGCTCGTGGGTAATCGACATGTCAATCGACTTTCCCCGTTCAGAATTCGTTGGTATCGACATATCCCCAATGTCGCCCACAACCAACCTTCCTCATAATGTTTCTTTCTTCGATTGCAATATTCTCGAAGGCCTCCCATTCGCTGCCGATTCATTCGATTATGTCCGACAAGGCTTGCTATTCGAAGCATTCACGGAACAACAGTGGGAGACACACGTCGTAAATGAACTAGTACGCGTGACGAGAGTTGGTGGATGGATTGAATTCATGGAAGGATACTGCTCGTTTGTTAATCCTGGTCGTGTTACTAAACGATTGACCAATGCATGTAAGTAGAGTTTTCAAGGAATAAATTCTGCATGTCATTTTGAATGCATATCTACAACTAAATAATAACTGGTACATTTTCTCTCATTGCAGTTTCGACTTTTCTCAAATCAAAAGGGATAAGCATGCGGTTTGAAGATAATCTCACAACATATCTCGAAAATACTTGCAGATTATCAAATATCTCGTATGAGGAGCAACAGATACCATTGGGGAAGAGAGGTGGTCGATTTGGTGAATTGGTGAGCAGGCAGCCATCTTCTTGATCTCGTGTTATACAGTCAACCAATCGAGCTAATCAAATTTGCCCTTTCTCTCAATTTTAGGCCTTGAAGAATCTAATATGGACATGGTTCGCTTTGAAGCAGCCACTAGCAGATACAATGTGTATAAGCTCAGAACACTTTGATGCACTAATAGAAACATTTGTTCGTGAAGCCACCGAGAATCGCACTGAATGGCGGACTTTTCGTGTTTTTGCACAAAAGACAAGGCGTAATGTGGACTCGGCAATAGACATCATGACACAATAATTAATGGAAATATCTATTTGTTAAATAGTCTTGGAATATTCGGCGAATATTTTTGTAAGATAAAAGTCATCTCTTGTTGACCAATGATGTTTGATAGAAATAATAAACGAGATTGTGGTATACTCACCTACTGCATCTACTACTACACAAAATATGTGTCACCATAGCGAGCATGTGATTGTATTAAACACGTCCTTGTTACAAGGACCATACATTTGGAAGCTTGGCCCGAGGTCTTTGTTCTTCTTTCTGCTTGTTGAAAATTCCATGGTCTGGCAGTAACCAGTAACAACCAATCGTTAGTAACATAAACTTATTAAAGGAGTATAATGACAACAACGTTTGTGCACAGACGATCACAAAGCGACAGATGCATATGAGACAAACCATATACGCGTATCACAAATAACATCAATCATGCATGGAATGTACCTTTTTATCGCGTGGCTTCAAAGACATAGATGCTTCTTGTTGACAGCCTGTCGCACGAAACAGGATATTTGACAACCAAAATAAGATAGTCAATTATCCACATCTTGCATTATAATTCCATGGAATTATCTGGAGTAACTCCGGCTGGTATAACGAATAAGAAAATAGCGTACTTATATCGCTGGAAAGCGATACAGTACCAATACAAAATAACAAAAGTCGCTCGAGTCGTTTTGGTTTTTGCTCTCGTCGGTAACCTGTTTACATTAGAGACGGATTAGATGCAGAATTTCAATTATTCAATTAAAGTGAGATAAACAATAGGAGTAATGCTAATACAAATCAACTCGTGTAGTATATACCCACCATATTTCTTGTTTATAGCTATGCGGCAGCTTTCTGACGAACAGTTGTATTAGTACTGCATTGATCTTGTGGAGAATGTCTATGCCAAACATAAACGCTAACGTCCGGAATATCCTACGTTCCAACCGATCCCTCTTCTCCTTCTCTTGTAATTTTCTTTTTAGTTCGTTATACCACACTTACAGTCTCTCAGCTAGTCCCGGTAGTCCTTTCGCTGTGAGTGTAGGTCGGCATTGGACTGACTCGTCGAGAACAGGCGATATTGAATAACAATGCCTTTACGTCATACAACAAGGTCGGATCACGTGGAAATAGAAATGTTCGGAACAATAAATAAACAAGAATTATTATTATTAACATACCTTTTTATGTCTTGCCGCCTCGACCTGAACAATTAAGCAATAACCTGTTACTACAAGTTTATATAACCGATACTTACTACTGTAACCATGTTTTTTTTTTTGCATGCATTAGTTGTGAAGAGCATAACGATATGTTAAATTTGCAAAATAACTTACAATTGGATGTACTCTGACCATGCTCTAACGTATCGGAATTAATTGTAATTTCATCAGCACTTTGTCGCCCTTTGTGGACCAACCAGAAATTCCAGGGCTTGCTTAGAAATTCGAGTTTCGTCATTAGTTGTTGCTTGGCCCAATTCTCAACTTTGGTAAATCCAATTCCATTCCATTGGAATGCGGACAGGCTCCGATTGCAATGAAAGGTACAGTAACCCCCTGCATGACTTTCCGTTGTTAATGATCTCAACTCTCTGAATATTGTCGAATTACGGAAATGCGTAATCTTTCCACGTCGGCGATCAGGCCGTTCCCTACGGTGAAAATTATACATTCCAATCTCAATAATTTCCCCCTATCTTTTTCATGCCGCTAGGTCGGAGCCTTGAATGAATACACGTATTACACTACTATCTAATTATATTCGAATAAAGAATACTTGCCATTTTACATCGGCCGAGAAGAGCTTTCGCCCTCTCCGCTCTCCGCTCTCCAACCCCGTCTCTGATTCGCTTATAGGCTCAAAGATTACGTTCTAGGTACTCTAGGATGTTCCAGCTTGACGCGTTCCTGTCAAATAATAGGTCACGTCAACAATGCGAAGAAATTTTCAATGTGACGTCACATATTCTCAGCAATTACTTTAGTATTAGCACTTTTTATTATTAAAATTTCCGACAGTGATACAACACGGAACCGTCCATTCCCTATTTCATCCCTACTAGCTGAGTTCAGCTAAGTAAAGACTTATAGTTCGATAGCTTCCATTAAACCAAGATTAACACGTTTTGGTAAATCAAAAAACGTACATATGTTCCAGCAGAAATTTGCCAGCACGATTCAGTTATTATAATTTAACGGAAAGCTACTCCTTATCTTGTGCAAGGGGATTGGAAGAGATGACCACTGTTTAGTTTTCAGAGTAATCATCATCAATCCCATAATAAGGATTTAATACTTGAGCACGGGTTATCTGAGAAAGAGAAAAGTAGATGAGTATCGACCTCCGTTTGCGACTATTCCCTCATTATATTCCACCCTTTCACTTTCCAATTGCTATATTACTATTGTCACTACCCAATCTCCTTTCGTTGAGCACTCCCCCCCCTCTCATTCTTCGATCCCTCTTCCCTTCCACAATGAAGTTCAAGTCTTCCCACCTGACACACTTGACAGGCCAAGATGAACGGCGGATTCTCCTCGCTTTGACAAAAAAAGCACTTTTCAGCCAACATCGTCCGACAAAACTGGTGCTCGCTCTCGCAGTCTCTCGGCAATTCAATCGAAAAGTGGCGTGGCCAGTATCTTATCCTGGCTGTTTCCCAGAGTTTTTCTATTATGGACATTGAGGAACAGAGAATGCTGGCAAATCGACGACATACACGTGTGAGGTTGAGGAGATGTTCGGGACGTCCGTCAAGAATCTGGAAGATTTTTATTAAGAGTTCGGAAGGAAGCGTCGTAAATGATGCTTGTACAGGATTTTCAGAGAAATCTTGGAATTGTGGAGAAGTGTGACTGATTGATGTAGATTCGGACGGTATCACGGTGTGTAGGTTTAAGGCTGTGTTGAGTAATTTGGGGAAAATAGGGTTTACTAACCAGTCAGTAATTTCACGAGAGACTCGATGACAATATTTTGTTACTATTTGCTCAGTGCATTAGTGTTACCCCCACCACTTTCACTATCATTGATACCCGTTAATCATTCTTATGGTAGGGTAACTTCACCTCTGTCGCCTGTGCTTTCAATGGGCGAATGCCACGCATTTAGATCTGATGCAGCGAGGGATGATGTCTCGGGCAATATCTCAGATGATAATTCAGATGATGCCTCGGGCGATGCCATTGCGAGATGAAAAACTTGAATATAGTTAAACTATGTAGCACGGAATTAATAGAGCAAATATGATATTAATACTCAGTTTGGGTTAAACACAGCCTGTAACGTAATGAAGTTCATTAACAGTGTGTCCACGTTCTATTATCTTGCATTTTTTGCACTCACTCAACAAGCAACAATTCTTCATCAGTCTTAGCAATCCATGTCGCCATTGACTGACCATAATCTTCTTTGCATAATACAAGCAAACACTTCTCTTCTAAATTATATGACTACAACGTAGTGTACCTTGTTAGAATGCCTCAATTGAGTTCATACATAATCAAGTGGGTTGATTGCTATGCGATCATCTGATACAACATTTGATATTGTGACACAATTTATCGCATTTCGAATTATAATGAACATCGATGTATATTCATGTGAGAAAGTAAAGAAACATATTAATATGTTTGGTCTGAACGTATATTAAAACGATGAGCTGTTTATTTCTTAATGTTTGTTTTTATTAATCTCTCAATAATAAATTAACTAATTGATTGTTCAATCGCTTAAGGCGAACTAAGTATATGAGTTATTGGTTTCTATTGTCCGAAAAACCATATATTTTCCTTCTCGACGAGGTATTAATCGAATGTAGCGCATCATCAAACCCTTTAGGCTACAGATCTATTGATGTATTACATATAATTCAACTTTTTCCAGCAATCATTCAATTGTAGAGTATAAATCGCATGCTAACATCGTGTTGTTTATACATAAAACTTGTAATAAACATTGTTCAGACACAAAACATAAGAGCGGTCGGCAGCATCGTATGAGGACCACCCGGAAGACTACGTTGTATTCTTTGCATTCGCATCCTGAATTATTATAGAGTAAACTGCTCTGCGAGCATTAAGATAAAATTTATTGCCTAATATGATTAAAACTTAATAATAAATAGTAAGTGTATTGTATAAATAAATTATGTTTGTCATTATTATTATGCAAATCACTACATAATTTGTAAGACCAAAGAAGAGTACTCGCTTATTGTTAATTCTTATTGTACTAAACGTAGACATATACATATATTCTTGATGTTGGGCCATGGTATAACTCATATTAAAGGTTAAGTAAAGACATACTAACACATATACATAAATGATTTACCAAGCTGTTGGCAAACAATCCCATAGTGATGCGTATAAATTACCGTATAGTTCTTTCTTCGTATTACAAGCTATCGAATAAATCTAAAACCTTTTGTTTCTCGTACATCTTCATCTCCCACAAGCTATCAAGAGTTTGTTCATCCTCTTCCGTACATAGCTTGCTGGAATCGAAGTCTATCATGTACAACTGCCGAGTTCCCGTAGTCTTATTCAGAGAAACAATATAATTTTCTACGCTGACATCATTATGCAGGACGCCGTGGTCATGTATATCAGCTATAATGTTCATAGCCTGCTCACTATACGCTTTCGTAGGCACTTTTTGTAAAGGTTGAAGGTACTCGAGAGCGAGGATGTAGAATTGGTTTTCGAGTGCGTGTCCGTAGTGAAGTAGTCGGGGGATACAATTGCCTATTTAGATAAACGTATGAAATAATGTTAACAATGAGTTAACGTAATGTAATAAAACTCGAGTATCCCCATAAACGAGGTGAAAGAAGTTCGAACTTCTGTATATTGTAAAAATGGTTTATATCTTGATAATATAACTTTTTATATACCTTGAAGCGGTTGCAAATGCTCGTAAATTTCGGCCTCTGAGCTGAGATTTTTATACTTTTGTGTATCTCCGATGGGTGTTATTTTAAGAACCATTAATTGACCATGGTATTCAATAAGTTTAATTGGTCCGTTCTTTGCCCAATGGTCAAGAAAGTTTTTCCAAATAATATCGGTCCATATGAGAGTGGACTTTGTCGCTTTGGTTATATGCAATTCAACTTTTGAGTATTGCGATTGGTCCCCCGCTGAATAATTGACGTATCCATCAGATGTTTCTTCGCTCGAACTAGAGCCTTGTTCGTTCGAGTTTTGATCCGAGTTGTCGGATACAGAGCGGGAAAAATAACGATTATTTCCCGAATCTGGTGGATGGTTCTCGTTGTTATAGTCTGGATTCAATACGGGACGACTGAAACCATGCATAAAAATCAAAATAAGTAACCACTCATGTAATTATCGTACATTTTTTAACATTCTAAATTAAATAATAAAATAAATTACAGGGATAAATATTACTTACCACGGTCTAGAAATGCTACTCAAATAGATTATGTAATTCCAGGATAGGAGTAACAAATCATCGGTTTCGATATTATGGCAACGGGATATTTCAAGAATATTTTCATCTCCAGAAGACCTTCGCATGAACCAAGTGTTGTCATAGGTCGTCAATATCCCGTAGCGTATTCCAAGGTTCAACATGTAATCATACATGTTATTAACATAATTGTAGAAGTCGGTTTCACCCCTTTCATACTCGAGAACAGCATCGGCATGGTTGCTTGTTTTCAAAGCCCAACATGGTATAAGAGAAATGCAAACAATTGCTCTCCCATCGTTATTGGTCATATGCCAATTTGCCCTCAAGGTATCTCGTATTGTAAAAAGAGAAACACTTCTATGATCCCAAATGCTGCGAATGACGGTCAATATAGTATTATCCATTAACAGCAATAGGTTTGTCTCATCAATAATTTCGACAGTGTCGTCCCTCACGTTGAGCGGTGGAAACATGCGATAATCTCTTACTTCATATCGTCTCACGTCTTCAGCGAAGGAATGCCAGTGTCTGACAGAACTTGGAGGGGTACGACTTCCAAGATGATAGCAATAATATAAGGTACTATTTTCGTATGTTGTACTTGGAAGAGCTGTTTGCAGCAAGTCCCTCTCAGTAATAAAGGCCTGGCTTGACATTATTTCTGCGGCAAAAAGAATGTTAATGTTTTCAACAAAGAACAAAATGTCAGAATGGCAGTAAATGAAATGCAATTGATAACAGAAGCGCCAGAAATTATAATAGTCGTTATTATTATATTCACTCGAACGAACCATATTTGGATTTTATGAAGTATATTGACCAAATTTAGAAATGCGTTCTTATATGAGTCGGACGATCATTTCCTCTGATAGAAGTACGTTCGGATTCTAAAGATTCTAAAACACAGTCAGGTGATTTGTAAAAGAAATTAATCAGCAACATGCATAAGTAAAACAACAAAGTTTCAAAAAATTTTTTCTTAGGAAATATACGCTTAGCCAATCTGAAAAATCAAAGAGGGATTAGCGCTTAATCTTTTGTTCGTCCAGGCTATAGTATCTGTTTGGTTCACGATTAATTTTGACTTTGAATAATTGTAACAAACATAAACGTAATCGGTTTATTTACTGACGCAAGCCCAGAGGTCAGTCGCATGAGCAGCAGAAATAGGTTGAAGGTCGTGCTAAGCCTCGATGTGTCATGATCGACATTATACAATACCCATACTTAAAATTATTGTATGCAGTAAATCATGTCAGGCTCAATTAATGGCAAGAATTTGCTTCGGTTATCAACTTTTCATATAGATATTTGTGAAACAAGAGAACAGACTTATTAGTAAAAATAATAGGTAGCCAAGCTGCATTAGTGTTGAAAAAGGTTGAGAAAGAAACCCCAATTAGATAATGATTGGGACAAATTGTCTGTCATTCGATGGATTGTGTAGTACTCCATCTGCGCAGATGAGATGTAGATAAGGAGGCGGTTAATATAAGAACATAATTGGCAACTTGGAAGGGTAACAGTAGTACAACAGCCATCGGACAGTAACGCAGAACTTATTAAAACCATACATCGTTGTTTAATGCAAAGAGCTTTCACAATGAATTCGGCGAAATTAACTTAGACTTTATAATACTATTTTAAAGCATCCAGTGCCATTCTTGCTTTACGCGATGATGTCTCATAAGCCACAACAGCTCTTTAAGCTTGCGACTAGTCGTGAATATCAAACCGTCGTAAACTATACAATTTAGCACGGACAGCCACCATGTTTGCAAGTGCAAGAAGCGGTCATTGAATACAATAGTTTGATTAAGATTTTACTTTGTGAATAAGAACTGAATTTCATGGTTTTTTTTAAGTGAGTATGTTTGCAAGTTATCTATTTTGTTGAAGGACAGCGTACTAATATTTGGTTATAACGCTTGATCTCAATAACAATTTATAATAAAAGGAAACACTTCTGGTTTTTCTGTATGAACATCTACTGAACTTAATTCTGAGTTTGTAGAAAGTCCATTATTTTATTGAGACTCATACCCTTTTATTTTCCCAATTATTTAAAACAATACTGGATAATTCTTTTCAAGTATTGACTATTGTCACTAAAAAGTCTTGTGTGGTTGACTAAATAATTTGCCCAATAATAATACTACTACTACTTAGAGGATATCCGAAAGACAAGCATATGCTGGTAAGCGCTGTTCTCTTAACTGTGTCATTATTGACATAAATGGCTTAATTGGCTTTCTTTATAATGCGTTCTCTCAATAGTCATTGAACATTTCAAATTTATAGATGAGCATAAGCAAGGACTCCTTTCCAAATGAAATTGTACGACAATACAGACTACTCCTGTTTGAGTATTGTTTTATAGGGTCCGGTTCATTTCATCGACAATCATTTCATCGACAGTACGTTTCACCAACATAAATTTCATCGAAAACCAATGATAATAATAAGTACGATAAACAATATGTCACGTGAAATGACTATCGGTGAAGTGTACTGTCGATGAAATGATTGTCGATGAAATAAATGCCTTCCGTTTAGATTTTATAAAACGGGGTTTCCGGGGAGATAGTGATAATTATGAACAGGTTGACTGTATGTAGTGTATAGTAGAGCTCTTTCTCGTATATAAATAATATGTACAATATACGCTAATTTTGGTTGTTCACAATAGGTGTAAAATGGATTACATAGGATACAGATTTAAACTTGTTTATTAGAATCATTGTAATAAAAAACATCCATAAAGGTATGTCATGAAGTGGTAGTCCTAGATTTTAAACCTCTAACTTGCATTTTAGCCTTCTCTTATCAAGCAACGGCAAAAATTGTCAACTGATGTTTTGAAAGAAAAAAAATGGTCAGTTGAGAAACTGGACAAGTATTATTCGGAGCAATAAAAGCTTTTAAACGGACAGATAGGCCATATTTGAACACGTTTTAATCTTAAAATATTATTCATAGTGATGTGGATGAAGCTGTCTTCTACGCGTAGTGACACTATGGCATGTGCATTTTAAATCATATAAATGAATATACGCAATAGAAGATGTTAACCAGAACAAGAATATTGTGAGGACTAATATTAACGATGACGTACTGTATCTCTCTTTAATTTCTGCGTAACTCCGACGATGTTACAAAGAATATTTGTTCATCTCAGCGCTGCAATTTCTGCAGCAAGCAATATTACACAGCCGCGTACAAGATTACGATCTCAGTGGGAATTTCAGCAGATACGCTATTAAAAAACAGAATATTTATATTTCGAATACCGGGGAGAGAGAGAGAAAAGTATTGCACAGTCGTAATTTATTTAATTCATAAATTTTTAAATGAAGTAAAAAGCTAACTTTGGAACTACTTACTTCATCAGTTGTCTAAATAAAATATTAATGTTTATTAATTAACGTGTTATGATGAACAGAACGACAAATTAGTAAAAAGTATTGCACAGTTCTATTTTTAAAACATTTAAATTTTTGTTTAAACTAAAAAGAAAATTTATTTACTTAAAGTAAATGACAATATTCGGTATTGCAGCAATCACAACTTGAACTTGGTAACAACAAGTTATGATATATTTTTGCAAATGCGTATTTCATTCTTCTTTTACTTATCATATTTTGCGAAAACCCGTTGGGATGTTATGTGATCATGAGGAATAAGCTCCTTAGCGGGACTCGTTTATGCGCCAAAGCAGAAAATTGAGTTTTTACTAGTTTATTGTTCTGCTTATCATGACATGTTATATAAATAAACATTAATATTTCATTTAGACAACCGATGAAGTAAGTGGTCCAAAAGTTAGTTTTTTTATTTTATATAAAAATTTATGGAATTAAATAGATTACGACTGTGCAATGCTTTTGTCCCACCCTGTAGATATAAGAAGCGCAACTTTCCAATAGAATTCAGCATGTTCGATCATATTCATGTTCTTTTAATATTCAATTAATACGCCTTTCTAATAATAAACGAGTAGTTTTTTATATTCTGGATACGTTATTAATGATTCGTTCGTTGATAAATTATTCGATATAGTCGTGAATCACTAATCCTATATCAATTAGGAATATCCGCCTCTTGTCCCAAGGATATTCTCGTGGCATTACGATTGTTATTTGCTTAAAAAGAGATACGCATTCGAGATACATACAAGTATACTCCAACCATTGGAAGGGGAGAATAACCGTTTAGGGATTAGTGTCTACTGATCGACGTAAGGTCGTGAGTGGTAAAGCCTAGTTTACAGATTACTAACTGTCGTTATATGTAACTAGAATTAGGAGAAGCCGCGGCTTCGTTTGAAAATAGCTAAATCCTTCGATCTCCCACAATTGTTGACTTGACATTAAACATTGTTTATTTGATATTTTACAATAAATTCTATTCACCTGCCAATAATGTACACTAAGTACATAGTCAACCTTGATAATCCAAACCTCGTTAATCCGAATTTCTCGTTAATCCGAAGAAATATTCTGGTCCCGTTTATTAATATTAATAAGAAATTTACCTCGTTTATCCGAAGATGCCGTTAATCCGAACTTAAGCCTCGGTCCCGTTGACTTCGGATTAACGAGGTTGACTATGTACATGCTTTATGATAAGTATCAAATTAATGCTAAAGTTTTGAGATCACTATATAAGGCTATTTTATTATCAGTGACAAATGAGAAGACAAATAAAAAAAGTTACAATATGTACATACTATCTCAACTACAAATAATTTTAACTTGCCTTTTTTCTTGAGCTTCTTGTTTAATCAGGAACAAAGGAGTTAATTTTATTGGCCTGAACATCCCACACAGCAAGGTCAAAGTCAATGGATTAGAATATTGTCTTGAGAATAAATACATAAGAACATTTATAAAGCCTTGTCAGTACACATACAGTATTATTGATTCTGATAATTAATAATGCTACTACATATTAATATGGTTTGTCTGAATGCTGATAATTTATGGATTTTGTTAAACAATTTATTCACTCGCCACTACTTGCAAGAGTGAGCTTACAACTGCAAGACATTGATTCTACAAGATTGATTACAATGCTATCTGGAATGCTCACCCATAATAATAAATACTTCTACAGTCCCCGGCGAAAAGAATGGCGGACAGTTTTTTTGACATAATTTAGTATTAATCAAAAATTTTATTATTTTAAATAGAAGACCAACACCAATGCTACATATTTTATTATTATATTAATAATTTGCTTGGCCTCCTTCAGCATCAATACAAGCTTTAATCCGGTCTCGCATGCTATCAATGCATTGAAGTAATATATATTATCAAGATCATGCCATTCCTGTCTAACTATATCGAGAAATTCTTCTTGCGAGATTTTTTTTTTTTATTTTTTATTACCATATACTTAACCTTCCTCTCAACTTTTTTCTTCAAAACAGCCCATACGTTTTCGATAGGATTCATATCAGGGCTGTGGAAGAACTCGTCCTGGAAGGCGGTCTTTCAAATCACTTCGATCATCACGCGAAGTGTGTTTCGGGTCATTGTCTTGTTGGAAGACCCAGTTACAACCATGCAACATATCTGCATTATTATATAAATGTTCACTTAGGATTTTCTGGTATAAATGACGGTCCAGGTTTTCGGTAAATGAATGCATTCCAATTTTCCCCTTAGCGCTGATCGCTGCCCAAACATGGACTTTATAAGGATGCTTTACCATAGGGGCGACAGATTTTGCGTTGCGGGACCATGCGTGAATGGTATTGGTGAACATCTGAATAGTTGTTTCATCAGAAAAAACAACTTTCCGCCAATTGTATCGCGCATGTTTACATGTCCAAGCAAGCGATTGTCTTTCGCTTGTTGGGTTAGAAGAGGTACTTTTCGTGAAATAACAGAAAAAAAATTGAGGTTATTGAGCTCACGACGTATAGTCCGTTCACTAACCTCAAGTTCAGGGTTATTTTCTTCCAACTTTGCTTTAAGTTCGCTTGCTGTAGTGAAATAATTGTGTTTTCAAATTTTCCTGATATGGCGGCGCTTTTTAGGAGTTACTTTTCTTGGGCGACCAGAAGAGTAATTTATAGAAAGTTTGCCAGTTTTGCGCAATAAACTAACGTATCGCTCACAGGAGCATAGAGGAATACCCAATCTTTGGGAAATTTCCTTCGGATTGTGGACATTTTGTTGCCATTGCGACTTAACAGCATTTCGTTGTACTTCAAGGGAGCTTGGTGCCATTTTAAATGGTAAAAAATAAGATGTAATGATATTACACTTCTTTGTTTACATTTCTTTTTTTAAACTAATGTTTCATTGTCTAATTTGGTAATATAAACAATGGTCCAAATTAGTAAAATGGTGACACTACAGCAAAAAAAACAACTAGTATCTCCACCGTCATTCTTTTTGCCGGGGACTGTAATTCAGTAATAGTCTTGGTATTTATCTTTTTATGTCTTACTTAACAATTGCTCATAGATTTTCTACAGGATCCAAGTACAGCCTGTTGGATGGCAATCCAGCATCTGGAACATTGTCTTGAAGGAAATCCTTCACCCAGTAGCTTGTGTCTTTAGGCAATTACCATGTAATAATTCAACATCACAGATTGCATGTAAACAACAGGAGGTAGATGCACTTGTTATTATGTCATGTGAAAAAGATCACAGTTTTTTTTTGTTACTATTACGTGCTGTACCATTGTTATCTGGTGGTCTAAAATATTGTAATTCAATCACTTTGTTGTCTGGCCTTTTCTGAAGTGAAGCTTGCATGAAGTGTTTTGGTATTGATCTATATTTAAATAGTTCTTGCATTTAACAACTGCTGGCTAACTGGATGGTAGAAGTAGTGTTCATTCTGATCCAGTAAAGGAAAAAGAAAAAATACAGGTTAGGTATAATAATAATGTAAACTAACAATCAAACATTATTTGTTATACTATTACTATATAAATTTATAGACTTAATCCTTAACCATGCCAAATTAAAATACAACTGGTGTCTCTATGAGAACATGACTGTGTTCATTAGGCAGAGGCATAGAGGATCTTTTTCTGTTGGAAATAACATCCATTTCTTTATTTGGGACAGGTTAATTTGTACAATGCCCATCTGCTGGCACTGATACTGACACAGCTTAGAGTGCAAGATCTTTGTTGTTGAAGACTTGACTCTTTCCCTTCTTTATCTTCTTACGGAGTTGGCTAATTGTTTTTGTTTTTCTCAATAAAGGCGTTTCCTGTAGACGCACCGTTGACAAGACTGAAGAGTGAAGAGTTCCATAGTGGTTGAGGAAACAACTGGGCTGCTTCCAATATGGCTATGTTTGGGCATCTTTGTGGAAGGAGATGAATCAAGTTACTATTTATCGCTAACGTCCAAGCACTGATCATTTTTTATCGAAAAAGGTAATTAATTTATCATGGTAATTCTTAAATACGCAATATCGATATATTTAATAACGTAGCAAAAGAATTCAAGCATTTTTAGATAATTGGTTCGAAAACGCTTATTTTATAAGCGCTATCTGATCGATCAGATTGCCAAGATTTAGCTGCCAAAATGGGAAAATCGTGTTACCCGAAACTCAAACACCCACAATGACAGAATATAATAAGCCATAAGAAAGCAGTTCACTTTCATAATGTGAAGAACATTTATAGTCATTAACTGAAATTGTAAGTCAAATAATCACTATTGATCTACAAGACAAACGACACCATTACGCGAAAAATAGCCGAACAACAGAGGATTTTTCTCTTTGGCACTTTTAGCTATAAGCGAATGATTGCCTCGAATATTCTACCTGGATGATGGAGATATCGATAGAACGATAGAAAACGTTATTTACAATCGTGATTATTAATCACGTGAAAAATAAAATCATGTGACCGACATGTCAGATTCTGACATCTTGCCTGACAATCGTGTGAGGAAATGCATGTTGGCCGTTGACATTGAAAATTTTCTGCGGGAGCTGTATCGCACAATAGGGGTTGGATTGGGGGACAAATTTTATGCAGCGGCATGGCGTGCAGTAAAATTCTCATTGTTACAATCAATCCAGTTGTCTCCACATCTATTATTCCCCACAATCTATTCCCCACAATCTATTCTCCATGAGTAACATTCGCTTACATAACCACTGTGAAATCCACCTTTTCTGAGAAAGACAGACTGTCAATATTTCGGACGTATTTATTCGCCGAAAATGATGTCTCGTGGATATTAATATAGGCCAGTTACAATCGATTTCGATATTGCCAAATAATTGCCTATCCTTTATTTTAAAGAAACTTCGTTGCTCTAGCGCATTTGTAGAGAAAAAGGTTTCTTAATTTGTAGTGAGATTCGGTTAAAAACTTTCGCACTGTTTACAATACTCATTCATTGTTGAAGTGAAGTGACACCTGCTTTCTCTGGGCGCAAAAAGGGGGGGACAAGACAAATAGTAACAAACAGATAAGCAATAAACAAAAATGATGACAAAAAAAGATGATCAGCACTCAAGGAGAGTGACACCTCAAAATTGCCCCTTCGATTTATCACATAATATTATCACTTACAAAGAGATATAAAGCATATAATAAACAGTAAATGGGCAGAGTGAGAATTGAAAGAAATCAGGTGTCAAACAGCATATGTATACGAATGAGATCAAGAAGATGGAATAAAGTAACGAAAGCCGACGAGATCGAATGCAAAGTTACCGTTTATGTTTCATAAGCATAGAGAATTATCGTAACAAGGCTTCATATTTGGTGTTGAAAGCCATCAAGTATATGGTTTCTTGGGATTGCATTCAGGGGTGATGTGCATGATTCCCCTGATTGCAAACCAATTACGTCATAACGCACAATATATGTCTGTTACCGACTACTGAATACTTTTAACATTTTACTTGCTTTTAACTTGGCCTGCTTCACCAATGCGCAAAAGACTAAGCCTCTCATTAATCAAGGCGGAATGGTTTGGCACAATATACTATATTGAAACGAAAGAGAGAGCCGACAAACGCAGAAGAAAAGCCAATTGACAGCTATTCTCTTATAAATCGGGAGAATAAAATAAATTACACAGTGACAAATCTCCAGAAAGAAATGATATTCCGACGTATTGTAACAAACTAAGCGGTAACTCAATGTACTGTGAACATTCGTATGTAGAAAAGGTTAGTTAATACATCTCTATGTCTGCTTTTTTTTCCTTCTTACGTTTCGCACCTCCTGCAAGTAATTCTATAGACTTCAAACCCAAGGGTCGCTGTTTGCTTCTGTTTATGTGGGATCTATTGTTTTACAAATGCATGTAGAAGAATATAGGATGCAATGTTTGCGGTCACTTGTTAAAGTTCACACCAATGTAATAGAGGATAAAATTTAAAAATGGGGATAAAGCGGAATGTTGGGGATGAACAAAGGGTACGCCTTCGCGAGAGAGGGCGATATATGTAGCGAAAAAAAGTTAACTGTAATTATTGATAGGGCAAGTGTGTGTGGCTGATAATCGAATGATTGTTAATGTGTATTGTTTATCTTAATGAGTGTGTAGGTGTGATTGTTCTCAGATCTAATGAAAATGCGACACGTATGGGAATTTTAGGGCTGAAACTTCATTATCGTGACAACCTGTCTTTTTTGACACATCATTCGTTATCACATTGAGAGAAGGTTATTGTATAAACCATCATCGCACACACACATGTAATCAAAACAAACAAACAAAATAAATAAATCCTACTATAAAATACCAATGGTTTATCTTAATCTAAATTACGAGCTTATCAGTATTGATTGAATTGTCGTAATGTTTATTGCAGCATTCCCTCTTTAAGCACTTACCATCTCTTCCTGTCTGTTTCAACAAGGGGTGGAGGCGTACATCGATCTAAGATTGACCTCTCTTTGCAGCAAACTTACGCAAGATAGAAATTCAGTAACACGAAATGTTGTACTAGTGCATACGTTGGAGATTCGCATTCCTTTATTAGTGGCAGCTACATTGAACGCTAAAAAACGCTTGCCCTTCAATATGGGTAGAGCAAGAGATTGTATGCCGTTCTTGTTACATGCACCTTATTTAGGCATCTTGTGACTTCTGTTTTTGCATTCTTTTTGTAACGCCCATCTTATTAAAGAAAGTTTCTGACCATGACATTAATCAATTATAATTAATGATATGCACGATTTAATGAGGGCGAAACACACAATAATCTATTGGTTTGTATATTGAATACCATGGATTTCAAACGTTATCCTGTACTTATTATACATATCACGCGCCTCAACTCCAAGTTTAGCTCTACTTTTATTTTTTCTATTGTTTTTTTTCTTTCTCGTACGAATTCTAAATAATATTTCCTATACATAGCATATATACTGGTTCCAGTAGACAAACAATCTCACTGTCAATATACATCCAAATATACTCTCCATTATGGCCAACCTACCACTACTCAAAATTTGACTAGTCCGTGCGTACTATCCTCTTCGTGCATTGTTTCCATCGCATTTCGTATGTGCGTATTTGCGGCCCGAAGGTTTGTTAACTTTTGGAAATATCCTCTCGTACGCCATGAGTTTTTTTCCCCTAGCGCATAAAAACGAACTCAACCCCCCACCTGCCTGGGTATTTCATACTGCGAGTTTCTTCGATCAAACGGAGTATTATTTCGTTATCCTAATGTCTCGTTCGAGAGACGATTGATTCCATTCTCTTGTTTATCTGATGGTATGCACATTATCATACACACATACACACATACACACATATATGTATATCGTAACTGTTAGATTCGATAAATAAGATAATGCTCTGTTGCAACTAAATCTTATCTTATCTTCCTAAAAATATGTCAATAACAAGCCGTTGGTTCAGATGTTCCTTTACTTACTCGTAAATTACATACATCATCATAATAGATCTGCACTCCGCACACAAATCCCTGCCTTGTCGAAATTTCGCATCGAACTATCTACCTCTCACTACGATAATTTTCATCTTCGACATGGAAAAAATAATTATATATGAAATCTCGCGGGCGTATTGTAATTATTCTTACGCTAACTTCCGAATTGAATTCGTATCTATCGATAGAATTATTTAAAACCTGTTCAACATTAAGATCGAGGTCTGTAAGGAGTAGGATGTATATTAATGAGCTTCGATTTTGCTGCTTATATCCCATGTTGTATTGATTCATACACATTGCTTATTATTATTAGCATCAAATCGTTATGAGGGCACCAGGATTATGTGTGGAGTGTTCGTTTCGATATATCTATATAGCTTATGCATGATTAATGTAAGTTCTGTTCCTTTATCTGTTTCGATTAATTCGACTAGCAATGGGACGAAAAATATGGCATAGCAAAAGCAGGTAAGCAAATGTTGGTTGAACCGCATTGAAAATTGTGGTTGGGAAATAACAACATGACTAATATTATGACTAAATTACTAGAACCATGCTACTACTATTGGGTGCTTGTGCATTAGACATTTTCTCAGTTGCGGAATTTTTGTTCTCTTCAAATATTCTAATCCCAATTCTTCTTTCCTCTATTTACTCTATAAATATACTGATTGATAGATCTGATCTGGGGGGTGGATTCGTTACTGTGCAACCTCGATTGGTTACGCAGTACTCACATGATAATGAGAATGGTGAGTCTTAGATAATCTACATCGCGGTTTTTCAATGATACACAAAATGAGGTCATTAACCATTTATAATTCTACACATAATTATACTGTATCCAAAATGCCCACCCAAACGCATTATATGAATATGGTAATACTTACTTGGTGTAACAACACAACATTGCCATTACTCCAGGAAACAAATACAATATAGAAAATCCATTCCCCCTTTGTTAAAGAACGACTCTAAATTTACGATACGACATTTTGAGAATCATTTCCACGCAACAGACGCGGTGCTCCCCCCATGGATAATAACTATTAGTAGCGAAAAAGGTCGGGGTAATATTTCCCACATTCTTATCCAATCAATAGATTGGGTAGATATAAGATTACGACTTTACAATTCTAAGAGACAATTTTATGACTTTTTGCATTGTGTTCCATAGTGAATTTTATGCCTACCACTTCTTATATACATTTATGACTAGAATGAAGCCTGCCTGCTTCGGACCTCTCATTGTAACATTATGTTTAGTCTAAACAATAAATCAAATTTTTAAAAATACTATTTACACAAGGTATAGAAGATATTAGATTTTGCAAACAACGGCCAATTAATAGACAGATAGAATAAACAGAGCATCTTAGCGTTCAATCGTAGGTGCAGCTAATGAAGAACGCAAATAGAATAAAATACACTTTATAACGCTATGTTATTTACCAGGTACATTTATCAGTAATAACTCTTAAGGCAACATCATTTTATTATTTTTCCTTCGTTCATTTATTCCCTTTATCCCTAGTTCAATATTGATTTTAAATGAGACATTATTTTGTTAAGACTGATGGTACAAACGACATAGGTGAATCAATATATCGCATTGTTTTTACTGGTTTTACCACAAAGTCATCTTTACTTGGGCTATAATATTTATCGCTACCAGCTGAAGCTAAACACTGCATAGTGCGGTTTTCAATCATAAAATTAAGCTCTTCAAGTTTCATAAAGAAAAGCTAAACTTCGTCATGGTATTTGGAACTTTTTTCTTACCAACCCTTTTTGCCGTCCACTTGGAATCAATGTTTTTATTATCTTGACTCGTCTTAAAAAAATTTTCAATAATAATAAATAAAGCATTAGATACAAGCTCCGGCAAAAGTAATGGCGATTAGTTTTTGGGACATAGTAGGCACAGTTTGAAAGATAAATACAAATAAAAAGTGTTTAATAAAAACCAAAAATTATGGCTACAAATTTATTAATTATTAATATTTGTTAGCATCTTTTTCGAGACCATTCCATTTTCTCCTAATCAAGTTTAAAAAACGGGTTGAGAATATTTCCTTTCTTTCTACCTCCATTTTTTTAATGCGTTTTTTAATATCATGCGCCAAAAAAACAGCCTAGAAAATTCTCAAATGTAACGCGATTAATTACGAGCGGTTTGCTTTCGCTTGCTGGGAAATAGACACTTTACGTGGTTAAAACCAAGTAGTACGTTCACTAGCAACTTAGGATATTTTGTCTTCTGCATAGTCTTCAATTCTTTTGACATTGTGAATTAATTATCGTTCCAATTTGGCAATGTTGTTCGGGGAATAATTTTGCGGGCGACCGGCTCGATGAATGTTAGGAATTCTGCCATTTTGTCGAAGAAAGGTGACTAACGTTCACAGAAGGCAAAAAAATCTCTGCTTTTTTTTTTTTTTTGTAAATTTCTTTGAATTATGGAGACGGTTTCCCCCAAGAGACTTAACGAGTTTGCGGTTTGTTTTAGTAGGTGTAGGTGCCATTTAAAATGAGTATAAAACAGTCTGTACGCTTGCGTTTTATTATTGATATTTTAAATTACCTGTTCTACTGCTCCATTTGATATTAATATAGTAAACAAGCGTTCAAAACGGTATACGGAAATGCTATCAACAAAACAAAGTCACACACCTGCTGCCATTTTGTCCAGTAAATATTTTGTTATAACTCGTAATATTAAAATTAAAACGTTTGTCATGACCCAATTGGGAATCAAACATTTGGTGGAAGTTAGAATATTTAGCGCATGGCATTTTATTTTACAAGCACATTTTCACTAATCTAAGGAAATATAGATTTAAAGTTTAACATTATAATTTATTATTATATTTAATTCGGCCAAATTTTACATTAAAATGGAAAGCACGAAATATTGGCTTGGTATCGGTTTTAACTTGTGTGCAAGACAAGTATTAATTTCTGAAGTGTATTGTTAAAGCATATTGAGAAGCTTTGATAGCACATCAGTATATTGTAAAGCATCCAAGCAAAACAAAAAGCTCGATATATTATGGAAGAAATGCTGTCGCAATTCATTCAAAATTTTTTTTAGAAACCATCAACGGGAGATAATCTCGTGCAAAATAAGATATTGGACGTTTCTATTTTGATTGTTAAAGGGTAATAGTTCACAAAAAGGGTTTACTATTAATATTAATTAGATTAAAGCAGTTTGTGTATGTACGTGTAATTGTTAGAGGCTAATTTACCTCATATATGACCGTGAGAGATAACTGTGTTTTTATGAAAATAATATTTTTATTAATACAGTAAACAAACATCAATTACAAATGGCAAAGCTAGTATGTACAGAATTCAAACTTGAATTACATTAAAAGTTTGTAAATACCTAGTTTTGGTGCAGTTCAAAAACTGATTGGTACGTGCTAGAGCATTCAGGGTGTTCCAGCATACGGTAAAAATTCATAAGAATGAACTGAGTCAAAGGAATTCATCAAATATAAGAGCTGGAAACTGGGGAAAGCTATAATAATAAGGACTAGAGCTGGAGTTGTTGGCCCAATTAGCTCAATTAGCGTTCCATCGTTACCAGATGGACTAAATTTGTCGAATTTATGTACGGTTATGAACCGAGTCTAAGCTTCTCTCTAATTTCGGTCATCCAATAACATGTAAATTTAATGCAGACTCCGAATTGGGTTTACAGATACTAATACTGTAAATTACTCTGCACCATCAGGTGATTTAAACATAATAAAATCAGTCACGGGAATATAACATTGTTCTAACCCTGTCTAAATATTATACACGTATACCAACAAGCGACATTGCTTATGTGATGTTATTGAAATAAAATGTGCTTACTTTGAACTGGATCGACCCAATTGCGGTTTGGGTCAGAACAACGTCATCGGAATTGTCAATGTCCAATGTCTTACAGTAAAATTTTAATGCGTTATTATTACGGTTTTCACACCCTAAAATTTTAGTGGGTGAAACGAGATTATTGTGATTACAGTTATAATTTTCACGTGACATTCGGAGTAATTTATAGGCAAATACTTCTTGTATAGGGATCTGGATGAAGATGAAATACGTATTGCTGAAACAATAATTGAGTTACGGAAAAATATCACTGTTTGCAACACGACGACCCGGCTTATTCAAGGTCACAAACATCTCCCTCACATCTCAAACTTTGGGCTCATGACATTGTATGGTTATGGTTGATTGCTGAGACTTTTTATTCTGTGATAGTCCTGCTTTGCCTTTTTAGTTACATTGCTACTCTCAATCGAGCTCTTGTATTCACATATGAATATCCGTATCTGCGTGAAAGAGTATAAGTACGTTCATCTTTGGCGCTTTCATCAATGAAAATGAATTGGTCGGGCATGTAACCAGTGCCGATTTCAACAATAAATGCGCTACGTAATAACTCATTCTTTCCGCTGCTGCTTTAGTTATCTGTATGATAAAATACAAAAAAGAAAAGACTTCGACACCTATGATCAAAATTGTTAGTACTTTTTTCGCGTAATTTTAACAAATGCCGCAGACTCTTTTGCCTATTCTTGCCTCCATTTCTGCAACCAATTCGTCCAAAAACCAATCTACCCTCTCGTTAACCAGTTCTGTCAGAATCTGTATAGAGTATGTGTGTAAGATCTCTACACAAAGAATTCCAACAACCAACCCAGACCTTCACATCAATACTTCTGAATAGTTTCTTACGACTGGAAACACCTCTAAATAGGTTGTCCACACAGACCATTCTCCATTTCAAATCTTCACTAAATGGACGATCCATACCTATATGACAGCATTTATGGGATAACAATACTTGTAATCATTTTGTAATCGCCAATAATCGTCTGTAATCGTCTGTAATCACATAATAATCACCTGTAATCGTTCTGTAATCGCCTTGTAATCTCGTACTTTCCCTTTGCGTAGGAAGCTGTAACTTGGCAAGTCAGGTTTCCGTAAGCCAGATAACGGTTGTGCTTTCTTAGCTAGAAGAGTTGAGTTTGACTGCACCTCTATAATCACGAATAATTTTCTAAAACATAGTATCTTCGTTTTTTTTAGTCCAGTGGGCAGGATGTCACAGCATTTTGAAAACCGCAACAATAGAGGAGTAATTATAGATGGAATGTCGATTTCGATGTGTTCCGATGTCCAATGTTTCTGATGTTCTAATGTTAATATACTGATTATTTCGATAAATCGGAATAATCTGGAATTAAGTCTTAGTTATGAATTAATCGATATACATAATGAGTAATTAACCTATCAACTGGATAGAAGATAATACGACGGACGGAGAATTTGTTAAGAATCGCTAATCTCTTCGATGCTATCTACAGGAGCTGCGAATTACCACGTACCTTACGGTTGCAATAAAAACTCGAATGCACATATGCACTAACGAATTGCTATTTATTACTGATTCCATTGCCGTTAGATAAGAATCCCATCTTATAGAAGGACGAAAATTTACGGTCCGATTTATTGCAATCTAGGATTATAATCGGCAAGATCGTTAATAACGTGAGCGAGAACCCTAATAACAGGCACCCAACTGTCGAAGATCAGCTAAGTGATCACTACCAAAGACGCGGAATTTCAAATTAATAACAATTTATATTACTCACTAAAAATTCAGTCCTCTTATTTCGTTACTGCTGTTTAATAAATTGGCAAATCATCATATTAGCAAGAAGCATTTTGGTATTACAGCTATATATTGGCTAGCTACATCACATAACAAATTCACGTGATTCTATACCGAGCTGTGAGATTTCTGAAACTTCAAATACTCACGTTCAATATCCCGGATTTTCACAATTGACAAAATGCCGGCGTCAAATCAATGAGACGTATAACGACATGGTCATTAATCTATTGAGAATCTGATATTAATAATATGAAGGAAAACACCTGGTAACCTTTGTCACCGGTATATAATTACTGGGATAGAAATTAGTATTAGAAAAAAATTCACCAATTAAATATCTGCTGATATTATTGGTCAATATTCTTTATTATAATGACTCGATCCATAATAAAATGCATCCCCCAACAACCGAATCCGAAAATCCTATTTCTATGATTATCTTCATCAAGGTAACACTACATTAACTAATTTAAAACATTCAAGTCTGTAAATCAGAACCATTTCACCGACAGTACATCTCACCAACAATCAACTACCGAAAAAGGATAAATTCGAACTAACGTTGGTGCGGTGAAATGATTGCAACCCATCAGAACGTGGACTAACCTCAAAAAGCATAGAGAACACAAGTGAGGAAGAGATGTGATATATTCCAGCAGACGCCCTTCACATTCAAACATAAATTTGATTAAAACGGTCTCAACTCCCGAACGTTAAAAACTTGCAATATTCAAACTTCAAACGCAGACCTTCTATTTGTTTCAGTGGGTTCGTCGAACACTAAATGTTAGATTTCAGAAGAAAACGTAGATACAAGTTCTTGAGCATCGTATACCTGAATTAAATCTTCTTAGTTCCCTTTCAATACTTTCCCTGAAGTTAGCAGCAAGTCCAGGTAGGTACGTCTTCCGAGTTATCGACGGATAAAGATGGCAGCACATTAAATGCAACGTTTAATATTCATATTAGGCTCTCGAATATTTTCATTTCTTTTTCCGCATCCAACTGCAATAATAACCTGCGTTTGGAATAAATACGTTAGTCACTTGTGTTATTATTGTTATGTGTTGCAATCTTCGACATAAAACTTTTATCAACGTTGTACCAACACACTTATTGGGGGCCATGAACGTACGTTTTGTTCTCTAAATCGCAGTACTGATCCTTCTTTTACATCCATTTCCGTATCTTCAAAGTGAGATTCATTTTGCTTATATCTACAGTATTGGAGTGATGAACTCGGTTAGTTTATCAATCAATTTGACAGCTATTGATAGCATTTTAGGAAATTTTAAGTTTCGTCCACCAATACATGTGTTAATAATACTGATGCTACGCATTCATTGTTAAACAATACTTACATCTTAATATTTCCAAGCTAATGTTTAATATTAGATCAATTGTGGTTGTCACTCTTATGTGCGCATTAGACATAGTTTATTTCTTCATCATAATAAACCAGTTTCAAGTTCACATGTAGACTTGCTCAGTTCTATCTGCTTGGAGCCGTTCTGTAACCATCAGAAGATCTTTGACTATTGTCTTTGATAGCACAGCAATTGTTATGGACGTTCGGTGAGCATAGAGCGTGTTGACACAACGTAACATCCGTATGGTGCTGGTTGATATCGTCTGGAAGAGTAATTATAAATTGTCAATGTGGTTAACATAATCCCTTCTTTCTCTACAGGTCCTTTTAAATCTCTTCATCAGGAGACTGCTTAAGCTGATTGCACAAATGTCGAACCTTACCTTCGAAAAAGTAGTTTGTTTTGCCGTCGATGTCTCGCTGTAAAGTCTAGTCCATCTTTGTCAATCTTTTCGACGAATCTCCTTTTGAAAGTTCGTGTCTATGTGGTCAGTTGTTTAATGAACGGGAATAATTTTGATTGAAACAATAGTGTAAACAATGAATATATATTAATATAAACTAAAGCTAGCACTTGAACTGATCGATCGATCGATCGCTACATGTATTTACCAGCCCACAGATTTTTGCACTAACGCCAAGCATTTTAAATTGCGATGGCGTAAGTCAATTTGACTGCTAAAGATTCTGGCTCGCATCGACAGATGTCTTCATCACTAATAGAGAAGGACGTTAATTAAAAAAGATAAACATATTATACTTGATAACAATAATTATACATGACAACACAATTGTCGCCTTCGCACATTCGATTTAGACTAGTTATGTCCAAGCACAACTTCACCCGATAATAACTTGTATGAATACCTTCGTTACCATTATGTCAACATCATTAGGAATGGTTATCAATGGCACGTTGCAAATATCGGTGCCTCCTACGGAGTGGTAGCACTATTCGCCCAGAGAAGTCTATTACAAGGAATTAACCGACAACTATCATCTTTGAGTGTTATAGAACTTCCAGTAAAAACCCAAGTTCGAAACCGCTAGTCATTATCGAACGGCGGGTATATAATAAGCCATTAAATCTAAGCGACTGGCTCCTCCAATGCCAAACGGCTATCAGATTAAGCTGCGGAAATTACTCTACCTTTGCTTATATAATATGCTTCAATTGCTATATGCCAGGCTTTAGAATGGTGACTTTGTCAACGACATAATCTTTCACTGCCCACGTGAAAAAAAAAGACTAATCAAATTCGTTGAACTTTAATTCATACATCATTATTAAAATGCTTATTTATGCATTATCATGGGACGGTCAGTTTAGCTAATTTTAGAAGCATTATTTTAGAAAGAAGCACGTGTGGCTACGGATATGATAGTAGGGCCTGTTTAGATACCTTTACATACTCATGATATCTATATTTTTATGATAACCGTGAATATCATTAGGAAAGTGACTCGAAAACCGAGTTCGTAAACCAAAATATTTTTTTAGTTCATGCAAACTTGCATGCACAATAATGCACATGCACAAAGACACATTGTTCTATACTATTCTTATTTGTACAACAAACAAGACTTATTATAGATTGTCCAGACAAATGACGTGAAATCAGGTGACCCTGAGAAGTGCCACAAGATTGGGGAATGCGATCTTTGACAGAATAGCCTTACCTGCGGCCTCAACGTTACCACAGTCATATGTTAATAAATTTATTGGTTGTAATTACAGACATGCTCAAGTACGGCATAATAACAAGTTTCGTAGTGAGTTCTTTTACTAATAATGGTTTTTTTTGTTTCTTTTTGGTTATAGTTGTGTTTACATGCCTTACTTGGAAATCATCCATGATATTTGTACATTAAATTCACAAAGAGTGTATAATTAAGTGTCGATAGTATCACTTAAAAAGTGATATACATTAAATACTCCGCATCGACAACACGTCTTCCTCCTCTTCATGCGACGTGCGATTTTTTGGCGTATATGCAATGAATTCTTCGTATTGTTTTAAACTCCTCAACCTCTTGAGTAAATTCAGCTAACAATCCATCGAATTCGGAGAATGATATCTGCATTTCTTCTACCATTTGATGTTTAATGGCCGAAAAGAATGCTGTCATGTCTTTCAGGGCCTATAAGATACGTGCAGTAAATGAGTATAGCTTCGCTGTGTTGCGTATATTAGCTTGCCGTATGTCATTATACTTACTAGTAACCCAATATCACCTGCCCATTTACCAAGCGGAACTTCAGTCTCGACTTTTGAAATTTCTGAATACATGTTGGTTGACTCGAGAATTGATGGCAATCGTTTCGCTATCATTCCATCCATGTTTCTCTTTTGGAATACTTGAATCACTGAAATTATTGGTTTGTTAGTCATGTGTAACCAAACATAATCCCTTTCCGTATCACATACTTACATCCATCGCACAGTCTCTTTCCGACCGTTCCAACATTTTCTAACATTGCATCATTCTCCACTAATTCTATCCATCCTTCATGTTTCACTACTCGTGTCAACTCGGGAATTACTATTTTCTCCCACTGGCTGGTAGTGAAACTTCCAGAAAGAAATCGCTGGTGTATGAAATCAAACGTGTTGTCGCTTGCGGCTAATCCTTCAAGTACGTTTTGTTGAATGAATGAGACGTTGACTGGACGTATTTGGGTGGGAAAGAGTGTTGACATGTCCAAGCCAGTAAATGATGATTGTGGGTAATCAGTCGCCATATCAAGGATCCAAGTGCCTGAGCTGGTAAGTTTAAGTGTAAAAATAAGTCAAAGTGTAACGACATTGGGTGATTCTGTACGACTGGAGGTACGATACTTACCCACACCTACGTTGATTAATTATTAATGGTTAATTGATTTAATAATTGATTGATTACTTGTTAATTATTTATTAATTTCTTCGGCTCAACGCTTACCCGACATCGAGTACTTTGGTGTTCCCTAAGGACAATGTTTTCTTCAATGGAACATTGAAGTTACCATGTTGAATAAGTCGTAAAAGAAAGTGTTGTGCTTGTAGCCGGTGAAGTTCCTAATAATCAAATAATAAAATACACTCAGATATCCGTTTACGTATCCTTAATTTCACTATTCACGGTCTGTTCATCTCTACCTCATCATCTAGAGGTTCGAAATAGTTGTGATTAGTGCAATCAACATATTTACTCCCGTTTTCCGGTTTTAAGGAACCCTTCCTTGCTGGCAACTGGTGATTTTTTTCGTTTTGTTTGGATAAGCGATGGCCCATATCAAAGATTATTTAGTGATAGTATAAAGTTAGTTCACTTGATGGAGGAATGTTGAATGAGGGATTCGGATAAATGAATGAAAAGTCAGATATAAATATTTGGTAGATATTTGTGTATCAGGGAAGTGCATATTAACGATAGTAAACAATTTGATATGTATATGCAAGCTTATCGTAAATCAATTTCATTGTTTATAATACCACAATAAAAATTGCAGTTTAACAAAATCAATCATCATTTGTCGCATAAAATAAGACTGTTTTTTATTGGAATGTGATCACCAGAATAACATATTTATGGTATTGTTTTCATTGTGCCTTCCTATTCTACTTAATAAACAATGTTTGGCTTCGTCGTGCAGCTGTATCTATAAATGAAACTGCTTACATTGCACAATAGAATTCCGGCTTGAAAGAGAGAAACACAGTTCCAAATTCTATGCCAATGGGAAATAAAGAAATGACGAGATAACTTGTACTATCAAACAAAAGATCGGTAGATTTAACTGATTCAAGATTATTCGTAATTCCATCTAATGATCTGTCAAAACTCTCAACTTGATAATACTATTTTATTCACTGTAAATAGTTATACATCTGTTACTATTTTATCAGCGTTTTTGGAGAATGTGTAAAAAGAGGGGAAAATCGGCATTTCATTACGAATTATAAATTTGGTTCCCGCCAAGTTATTTTACATTATTAATTAGGATCGTCACTCGTGTATCTTGTACTATGATGTAGAGACAAACTGTACAGAATTGCTTAATATGGACGTTAGTTCGAGTGTGGTTTTGAACAAATATCCATGTACTACTTAAGTGATAATAAAGTTATTTTGATATTCAGTTTTAGTGACAATAGTATTCAAATTTCGTGAAATACAATACAAAAAAAGGCAGGATATGAAGACAAATTGTATCGTTACAGTTGCACAATACATTCTATACAAAACATTCTAGACTCACACAATAATTGTGCAACAATAATAATCAATAACTCGGTTCTGCTTTTTGACAATATTAATGTCTCAGCATCGCTATTAAAAATGCTCAAGTTTTCTCGGCAGTTCTAATCAAATAAGCCGGATAAATTAAACATATTCTTTTCCTTCTAAAAATTATATCCAGAGTTGCAGCGTTGCAGATTAAAAAATCAAGCAATTGAAATGGATAATATCTACTTTTTTTTTTACAGATCCACTCCGCTTTAGTTGTCACCAAATTTGGGGTTGGAACATCATTGTTCAAACTTCACCACAAACTCTTATACACGTACTTCAAAGTTGAAAATCGAATCTTAATTTCTACGGGTCCATCGATGGGAGAAGGCGGGGGGTTTTTTGCAATTCCAATTCTGGGATTGTGTAGAAGTGTGTCCCGATCATCTTGTTTGTGTACTCTGCCCAAGAATTTCGGGATTTTCACGTGTAGATATTATCTATTTCTTGGGTCCCGTTATGACCAAATATATCCTACAGCAGTACCAATCAATTGGTCAGATCGAGTTATTTTTATGAAATAATGTGTCAGCTCTCAGGAGTGGGTCGAACAGGGGTTTAATCAAGATATCGTAAACCAATGAGGTTCGCAGATAATAATAATATTGTTTGTTGTTGATTTTGTTGTGTCGTGTGAGACGAATCTTAACGTTCTGATGAAATTTCATTTGGCTAAAAAAATTGAACAAGCATGATAACATCTAGCATGTCTAAGTTAATATAGCCTACTCTTCGAGTGACCGTAATTATCGGGTTCACTTATCCAGTTTTTCGTGAAGAGTATTAGCACCCATCTTAATGAGTTTTCTCATTCAGACCCGTAAACTAAACGTTCGATTATAAGTTTCATACTTCACTTAAACGTATATTTTTCGCGTTGAATTTATTGGCAACAAACTAAGTAAGCCATCTGTTCAACTTTATGTTTTGAATTGTAGCGAGATATTACGTGTATATAGAACTGACCTCTACTATTCGCAATAATGTGACCAATAGTACGATTCTAGCGTGTACGAAAAGATAGCATAGTCCTGTACAAATCTTGATTGACAAAATAAATATGCACTTAATAAAGCTTGTATGGTGGTATTGTTTTGCCAAAAAAGTATTAATTACTATGGATAAAAGTTTTACATTTATTTTATGAGAACAAGACTTGAAAACCTTTCAAGATAGTTGATTTATAAACTCTCCAACAATCGAGAAAAACGTATTGCATCGAATAGATCAAAAGTTTTATTATGCTGTTATTCATGATCAAGCATGAAAATTACAGTAGAACTCGCAAACTTGTTAAAAGTATCTCATCTCGCAGGAAGAATATTTGTGGAGGGATCTGGATAGCTGACCTCTCGATAAGATGTGAGGACGTGGATGCAGACACATTACAGCTAACCATTCCTAGCAAAGTTTGTGCAATGATTTGTCCCTCCTCCTAAAACTGCATATTTGTAATATATAGCGTCGCCCCCAGTAGAAAATTCCTCGCTGCTGTCTTCCGTTAGGAGAAAGGACCCAGGAATAATTTGCGTCTGACTAACCAAATCTGTGGTTCACAAACTATCCTGATGAATGAGTCAAACGTTTTAACCGCAGACCGTCAATCAATCTTGCGTTATCTAATATATCATAATCATTTGATGATGTAATTGCTCGTGTTCCCTCTACATTGCACAACATCTCGTAAAACTGTAGCACACGTGGTACAACAGATTGCGAACTCCTGAATAATACGCCTACCAACTTAAACTTTTGACATAGTAAGTGCAATATACCGCATCGGCTATTTACACTTCCGATCTAGTAGTAACAAATATGCATGCAAATTATTTGTATAGTCAATACAGAATTCATATCGATTGTTCAGGCGCACCATTATGTAATTTCCATATCAGAGTGCTATTATGACTGTTTCTTTGATATTATCAAAAATGCCAAAGATCAGTTCCCTAAAAATGTACAAGAAACCAACGAATATTGAACTGATATGTTGTTCATTTAAGATAACCCATCGACATATAGCATGCCTAACATGTGATAAACTTTAACATTGATAATGATAGGATTGTTCTGATACAAGTTGGCTGTTTGACAAGAACTGAAATATAGAAATTCGGCGGCAACACCTAGGGGTGAGATTAGAACTTTCACAAAGCGATTAAGTTATGATAATGAAACGTTTGTTAATGGATTATCGAAATGCGAAAAACCGTTTGTGCTGTAATAAATGGAACTCTTGGGAGCACAGCCTATAACCGGGTTCTCTAACAAATTTGTAATTGTGTGCAACCACCGCGGAAATTTGAAATTATTGCAGGCTGCGCACCTCATATTTTACCACGAAAAGATTACATGATGCAGTTGCTGAAGCTGCTCTATAAGAATATTTGTGATTCGCAACTACCAGGAATTGCGAAGAGAAAGGGTGCTTCTTGGATCTCCCTTTCGCGTTCATCTCTGATGAATTATGAACAATCAATTAACCTTAAAACTAATAACACAGTCAAGCATTCTTACATCGATATGCTAGAAATCGATTTTTTAATCCCTTCATTTCAACTTCGTTGTTTAATTTTGTCGAGGGAGACGCCAACTATCGATGTCAACTGACATATCATAGATTCCAACTATCGATGTCAACTGACATATCATAGATTCCAACTATCCCACTAACCTCATTTACCCATTCACCGACTCGCCGGCTCGTTCTCTCCCATTCTTTTACAATATGTTTTATACATATACTTACTTCTTGTTTAATATGAAGCCAGACAGTATCGAAATGCTATCTTCAACGTCAAAACCTTCATAATCTTGACGGTACCTTATGAATTCGTTCCTCAAGATAAGGGCTATTGAAGCGTGTGTGTCACGTAGCAGTATGATGACGTCTCCACTTTAATACATATTAGTGTTGGAGGGTGTTCCAAAATAATACGTAAACTGTGTTAGAATGCGTCAAGGACTATTTATATGTTGGAACATCTTTTTTTCTATTTGTTCCTCCACGTGTTCAACAGAAGGCTTAATTTGAATTTGGATAAATACCAAGTCACAACGCAAAGAGGTTTCCAATACGGCCCAGTCTAGTTGGCGATTTTACGAATAAATGACATGTTTAATTTATTAAAAGGTAATTCTAGCCAGTTTTAGCAGAAACAAACGTGATTATGACTGTTTTCAATGTTTCTTTACATTAGATTTCCAGTGACGTGGGTCTATGGAAATTCATAGCAGGTTTATTTAAATTATAAGTTTGAATGTCAATAAGTTCATTTGTTCCATTACGGTGGGAAAGTGTACAAGTTTAGAATAGCATCAGAAGGAACAGGACTCAATCTCATCGCATGCTTTAGAAGCATTATTCAAATATTGCACGCGTTAAGAATACTTAGTTATTATATAGCATCTTCTATTCTGTCAAATTTGACAGTAGTCTCCAACTTCATCGCATTAAACTTTTTCATACTTGCCGCGATGCTTTTGATTTCGGTCAGCGTGCTAATATACAATCATTGGCTAATTACGGTTCGAAATTATTAAATGTGCTAGTCAGAGCTACGTAGTTAAAAATAGGAAACTTTGAAGTAGTCTAGATTACCCTTGAACGTTGAAATCATGATCGTGAGATTCCTGGATGACGAAAATTTCCCACACTTCTTATTTTGTAACATTTAATGGGCCCTAAAAAAAGGATTGCCCCTTGAAGAAAAGGAGGTTGTTTGCTGAAATACGTCTCCGGTTTGTTCCGAAAACCAAACATTATAACATTATACCTTGAAAACGTTAGTATTTTTCTGGGAAACGCCTTTCCCAATACAAGATACCGGAGAACGTACACCGGAGCACGTACTCGTTAACATTCCCTCCGGCATACATTTCTCCCCCGCATATTCCTGCATGCTCCCAATCCAACACTTGCTACACGTTTCCAGCAAGTCAACTCGTAAGGTTCGAATAAACTTTGTTTACGTTAAGTTCAGAATCTTGTGGTCGACTA